ATAGGCCACGTTGTCCAACCATCTCGTCCTCGGCCTTCCTACCCGTCTTACGAGGTGCAGCTCCTCCATCATTATTTTTTTTGGTATTTCAAGGGTGCTCATTCTGGCCACATGCCCTGCCCACCTTAGTCTGGCCAGTTTAATATACGTGACTACGTCGATGTCTGCATAGAGAGAACTGAGCTCCCTATTTTTTCTTTTCCTCCAGACATCTCCCTCCTTTACTGGACCATAAATCCTTCTGAGGACTCCTCGCTCAAAGACACTCAGCTTCATCTCATCCCTTTTAGTCATCGTCCAAGCCTCTGAGCCATATGTCAAAACAGGCCGAACAAGGGTCTTGTATATGATCAGCTTGGTCTTCTTTGAGAGGTACCTACTTCTTAAGTGTCGGCCAAGTCCAAAGACACATCTATTGGCAGCCGTGATCCTTCTTTGTATTTCTTGAGCCATGTCATTCTTGCTATTAATTTCAGACCCAAGGTATATAAAACTTTTCACTCTCTCAAACTTAAAAGAACCTACCTCAAATGGAGAGTTCAGATCCACCTCACCGCCAACTCTCATATACTTAGTTTTCCTCTCGTTGACTTCTAGACCAAGTGGTCTTGCAGCTGCTTCAAGGCTTATAAACGCTTCTCTGAGAGCCCGTTCAGACCTACCTATTATGTCAATATCATCAGCAAAACCAAGAAGCTGTGTCAGGCGATTGAAGATTATATCTTTGGTCTGAATACCGGAGTCTCTTACAGCTTTCTCCTCTGCCAAATTGAACAATAGACAGGCGAGGGCATCCCCTTGCCTAACCCCACTGCTCACTTTAAACTCTTCGGAGTCGTCAGAACCGACGCGTATTCTGCATCTCGAGCTGTCCATGGTCATCTTGATTAGGCGTACGAGCTTCTGAGGGATGCTTAGCTCCTCCAAGGCACAGTATAGTTGCGTTCTATCAACGCTGTCGTATGCTGCTTTAAAGTCCAGGAATAAATGGTGGGTGACTACCTTACGCTCCATAGTCTTTTCTAGGATCATCCTCAGAGAGAACAGTTGATCAGTCGTTGAGCGTCCTCTTCGAAATCCAGCCTGATATTTCCCCAGTTCCTTTTCAGAATACGGGAGGATCCTCTCAAAAAGAATGTTAGAGAGCAGCTTATAAGCACACGAAAGGAGTGAGATTCCTCGATAGTTAGCGCATTCTGTTTGATCTCCTTTCTTATGTATTGGGCAGATAATGGCTGTTGCCCATTCCGTAGGCATAGCTTCCTTCTCCCAGATGGTCAGCATTAAATCATGCAGAGCTTTCTTGAGTTCTTCACCTCCACATTTCAACAGCTCTGACTGGATTCCGTCCGGGCCTGGCGCCTTTCCATTTTTCAATTTCCTCAGGGCGTTTTCCATTTCCTCCTCATCCGGGGGTTCAATAGAATTCAGGGAGTCTTCCTTCATTACACCTACTTCTCCAGGCACCGTTCCTCTGTTTAATGCGCCTTTGAAATGTTGTACCCATCTCCTTAGTACGTCATCTTTGTGGCTTAAAAGAGTTCCATTTGTGTCTTTGCACGCCGTCACTCTGGGCCTAAAAGCTGCCCTACCCTCGTTTATTCTCTGAAAGAACAGGCGACTTTCATTTTGGCCTCGCAATGCCTCTGTGTCCTCCATGTTCTTATTTTCCCAAGCTCTTCTCTTTCCGCGGAATAATCTCTTCTCTTCGCGTCTTTTTCTTCTATATGTTTCTTGGGAGAGCCTTGTGGGACGCTGAACCTTCTTTCTGTAGGCTTCATTTTTCACTTTTACTGCTTGAAGGCACTCAGCATCAAACCATGGGGGCCTTCTAGATTTAGTCTCGTAGCCAAGAGCTTCTTCTGCTGCCTGTTTCATTGCGTTGCTGCATCTCTTCCACTGTTCATCGACCATAGAGCTGTCATTAATTACTTCTTCATTAAGTTTCGTCTCCACAGCTTGTTGATACGAATATTGGTGGTCTGAGTCCTTAAGTTTAACCACATCAATCTTCTTCTTTGGTCGTTGGTAGTGGTTTTTAATCAGCGAAATTCGTGATCTGACCTCGGCAATGCTCAAATAGTGATCCGTGTCCATATTTGCACCTCTATAAGATCTTGCATTTATCATGTTGGACTTGTGACGGGCACTAATGAGTACATGGTCTATCTGTGATGCTGTTTGCCCATTTGGAGAGATCCATGTTGCTTTGTGGATATTCTTTCGAGGAAAAAGAGTTGTTCCAACAACCAGTCCGTGCAATGTAGCAAAGTTCACCATCCGTAGCCCATTATCATTACTGGTCTCATGCAAGCTGTGGGTTCCTATGGTCGGCATGAGTGCCACCTCCTTACCAACTTGTGCGTTAAAGTCACCAAGAATGATTTTAACATCATTTTTGGGGCAGCTTTCTGTCACGCGTCCAAGTTCTTCATAAAATGCTTCCTTATCCTCCTCAGGTGACACCTCTGTTGGGGCATGGCAGTTGATTAGAGAGAAATTAAAAAATTTTCCTCTAAGCCGAATGTAGCATAACCTTTGGTTAATGGGAGTAAATCGCATCACCAACTGTCGAGCTCTGCCTCTCACAACAAATCCGGTACCGAAGATGTGATGCTTTTCATGGCAGCTATAGTAGAGTGTATGGTACTTCTTCTCCATAATTCCCTGTCCTATCCATCGGACCTCTTGGATAGCTGCTATGTCGATTCTGTATGTGTCCACTTCTGCAAGGAGCGCACGAAGTGCTCCTAGTCTATGTAATGATAAAATGTTCCAAAATCCAATTCTTAGGTCATTTAGGCGTTTCCTGGGTCTGTTACCGTAATTCAGTCCGGCTTCTTCTCTTTGAGGTTTCGTAATAAGGTACTTTAGGGGGGGTGGGTTATCAGCCCACTGCCCCCGAGTCAGGTAGAGGGGCTGCCTCCTCCGAGCATCCTGACTAGCTCCCCCATCCGGGGCGGCTACCTAGGGAAGGTGACCCTAGGGTGTGTACTGTAGGTGACCTTTGTCTGTAGTGTTTAGGTGTTGTAGTGTGCTGTCTAAAGTGTACTTGGTGTGTGAGTATTCGTGAGTTGAGTTAATTTTCAATTATTCTTAAATAACGTACCTCCGTGGCATTGTATTTAGTGAATAGTTATGAACGTCAATGATTCGTCGACATATTTCTATATTGGGAGATATGTATCCCAGTTCATAATTATTTTAGTGTGCTAGCTTTATATATGTTTTTTTTTTGTTTCTTAGGAATATCTTCAATGAGAAGTTTTCTCAAATTCGTGTCTCAGCTGGTTCTTCCATGTCTACTTGTTCACATGCCCTCCACCAATTGTTCCCAACCAGCCATATTCTCCAACACTCGATCAACTGAAAGTCTTCCTTACCTTATATTATTCTATTGTCTGCCTTCGGTACATCCTTTGATTCATTATATCCTAGCGGCTCTCCTCTAAAAAATCCATTTTTTCCTGAAAGAATTGTTTTTCCTTCAGTCAAGAAGCCATCTCTCCGATCCACGTAACATTATACTTGCTAGCAATTATTTATATATCTTTTTTTTTTTCTTAATGATATTCATATTCTTTAATACAATTGTATTAAAGAAATACATTTAGTAAATTTGAACATGTGGATATAATGACGTGAAAACACTTGCTGAGAAACTACCCAATGGTAGCACTCTAATAATATGTCTACATTAGGAGATCACGGGGCCATCTTCTTTTCAGACGCCTCGGAGGATTATCAGGGATCGAAGAGGAAGCAAGGTTTGAAACGAGAGGATTTGGATGGTTCTGCAATTTTTAATGGAAGGATAAGTATCTGGATTGGGCGAAATCGGAAACATATGGAACATTAAGGTCTTTATGGATAATTTTATTAGTGACAAAGTAAGGAGCATTGAGGATTTTACGAAGGATTTTGGATTGTAAGGATTGGATGCGAGAGGAATTCGATGGTTTAGTGGAGCCCCATAGCTCAACTCCGTACGTCCAAATAGTTCTTATTACAGTCAAGTATATGAGTCTTTTGTAATTAATGGGAAGTTCACAGCGTTTGTCTAGTAAGGGTTGGGATGATTCTGAAGTTTATTATGGAAGGATAGGTATCTGGATTGGACCAGATCTGAAACATAAGAAACATTAAGGTCATTATGGATGGTTTTATTTGTAACAAAGTAGAGAGATATTGGTTATATAATAGATTTTTTTTAAATAGCTTTGCTCCACAGCAGAAATTTAATCATCCTAACTGTTTTTGTTTTTTGTGATTCTTTTATTGATTTCTAGATCTGCTGTATCATTATTTTGTATTATGTATCCTAGGTAACAAAACTGGTCTAATTCACTTGACTTCCTTTATGTTGGGTCAGTGCTTTCTTCCAGATATGTCCCTAACAAGCGCTAACCCCTCTCCCCTCCCCTCCCCCCAAAGTCGATGGTGAAAGAATCTATTTCTCCCACACCCAAGATATTTTATTGCTCACCTTTTTTAAAAAAGAAAAAGAAAAAAAAATAATAAGCTAATTAAATAGAATTAGAAAAATCATAGATCGTATATAATTACACTTGCTGCGGTCTGTTCCATGTTTCCCCCTTTTCCCTTATTATGAAACTTTTCTTTTCGAAAAGATTCTAACCCCGCCGTAACGTACTCCCTTCAAAACTAAAAAAAAAAAAATTAAATAAGCCCCTATCAAAAGTTTTAATAGCGCATCTTACGCCATCAAACCCCCTTCTGTATAGCCCTGCTCTCTTCTCTCGCCGTGCGCATCTATTCAGTTTTATTACATTTTTTTTAAGGCCAATTCGTTCGTATTTCTGAACTACTTTACTGTGTAGATGACCTATGTTATCAACCTTGGTCGTCGGCAAATAATAAATGATTCATGTTTTGTTATTTTGACTTAATGCCCAATATTTTACGTTTCCTCGCCCAACTTTTTAGACATTCATTCTTCTCTCTATCTATATAATTAATGAACTTGTTAATTATTTCAGGTACGGCATTGCTGTGTGGGAACAACATGTCAAACCGTTCCTGCCTTACGTCAGTTCCACAGGAACGATGGCTCCAGAGAGTTATGTCTTCTCTCTGCTCGTCAATATTACTGCCTACCTCTGTGGGTATCACTGTTCTTTTACTTTATTTACCTTCTATAATTAATTACAAGGAATTTATTTTTATAATAGAATACATTTTTTTAATTCCAATTTTGATACTTTTGTAAGCAAAGCGACAGTTACTATGTGTGCATTTAGTAATAAAAAGAGTATTTCAGGAGTAACGTCAATAATTGAGGTTCTGATATTCTACCGAAAATGTAACTCAGCGCCACCACCCACACAATTATATCTCTGTTGTAAAAATCGATATAATTCATTGAAACGTTTGTTTTCCACCCATAAATATCTAAATTCCTTTAACATAACTGAACACTTCTCAACGTTTATCACCACTTTCAGAATCTAAGATGAATTTTCTATATAACTAAAATGCAGAAAAACATAAGTTCGTAAAGATACCATAACAGCCAAATTATTATTTTTTTTTTTTCTCAATGATTCTTTTACAACTATATAAAAGAAATACATTTAGTAAATTTGAACATATGGATATAATGACATGAAAACACTTGCTGAGTAACTACTCAATGGTAGCGCTCTAATGATATGTCTACATTAGGAGATCACGGAGTCATCTTCTTTTCAGACTTCTCGGAGGGTTATCATTAATTGAAGAGGTAGCAAGGTTAGAAACGAGAGGGTTCGTATGATTCTGAAGTTTATTATGAAAGGATAGGTATCTGGATTGGGCCAGATCTGAAACATAAGAAAAATTAAGATCATTATGGTGGAAGTATTGGATACGCTAGGAATTCGGTGGTTTAGTGGAGCCCCATAGCTCAACTCCGTAAGTCCAAATAGGCCTTATTATAGTCATGTTATTATAGTATAGGAAGTTCAGAGCGTTTGTCTAGTAAGTGCTGAAATAATCGGAAATTTCGAGCGGTTTCTTGTCATTTCAGTCTAGTGTGAACTGAACTAACCAAATTAAAGTAAACAAACAAAAAGTAAAAGATGTTCAGAAATATTCAGTAGATGAATTTTCGATCTTGAGTATTTGAAAACGTCGTCTGAGTCCACCGTGGCCTGACGTTTACCGCTGCCAAATACAATGCTATCAAACAACTTCTAGCCTTAGAAAAAAAAAATTATAAAATACTAGTAAAGGATCTTTTCAAGTCATTTTATTAAATGAAAATACTTAGAGCTCCGAGTTTACGATTTTACGAAGCGAGATTAATTTCGAAGAAGTATTGATTTTAGGATTTCAAAAAATGTTACACACATGCAACAATAAGTGTGGCTAGTATTTTTTGTCCTAATTAATCCTAATAATCTCATAGGTCAAGTTCGAGGATGTATCCCTGCTTCAAATATATGGTATATACAGTAATATAGCTATTAATATTATATTGGTGGTCAGATTCTTGGATCCATCGTGGCAGGACAAAAATAGTTTAGGTGCTCGTATTGTTGCAGGCATCTTTAGCATTCTTTTTACTTCCTGGCCTCTACCTATCTAGGTATATCTACTTTACGAAGGAAAAAAAAAAAACGATTTCATAACAATTTGTAGCTTACTTTTTTTTTTTTTTTTTTTTTTTCATACATGTTGAAATATTTTTATATAGAAAGGCGCAGGAGGATATATTTCTTTAGTGCCTATTTACGAAGTATAACTGACAAAATCTAAAATCAAGAGTTTTCCTAACCCTGTGATACACAGAATCAAATGTCAATAACAAAACAATTGAGTGGTTATTTAACATGTTGTACAATCATTTGCAAAATTTCACATAATGATGATGTCCCTCCCGCAATATTTCATAGAGTGGCGTACTCCTCCAATATTTCCAAATCATTTACTTAAAATGACTCACAAAAAAAGTTTATTAAACTGTATTGATAATAATTAAATCACTAGTGAATCACGGAACTTGCCTGGTATATTGTTCAGTGAACATATAACAATATGATACGAAAATAAGTTTATTCAATTCATTATGAATGAGAGATTTCTTTTGTTTTTTCCTCAGTCAATTATAACGGTTTGTTTCTGGTGGCGGGGTGGCCGAATAGGCTAAAGCGTGTGTAACAGCACCGCTAGTTGCCTGGCAACAGGATAACAGAGATTTGAGATGATATAAAAAGTACGAGTTCGCGTCCCGGTGCCGGAGGGGATTTTAAATTCCCCGCCCTCACCCCCCGGCCCGGGAAAATCCCGTATAGCCTAAAAGGCGAGGTAGGAAAGAACAAAAAAAAATAAAAATAAAAAAAATAACGGTTTGTTTCAAATCATAAGCCGCCAAAACGTGTACAAAGTACAATGGGCTGTATCTTTGCTAAAAACAGGCCAATTGGATGATATTTTTTTATTATTTTCACTTACCTATAAATGTAATATATAGTAAGATGAAGTTTGCGATCGTGAAAATTTTCGAATCTCAGATTTCAACAGAAATACATGTTTTGAGTCCAAATAGCCAAGTCTCGCAAAATGGTCTATGTGTGTGAACAGCCTATAGCTCAAAAATAAAAATTCGTACGAAACCGAAACTGCGTATTTAAGGTTTGTATATGGCTGGGATATTACAGCAACTTTTTCGTTAAAATCGGCTAACCGAAAGTGGCATTTTATATAATAGATTTTACACATTTTTACAATTTTCTCTAAAATGGCTCAAGCTATTTTGATTAATCATTATATCATCGTAAAGTTAAGCAGTTTTAATATAATGTAGGTTTTATTTTCATTGATGTTCTCTAACAGAGCTTAAAGTCCTAATTTTCAAACTTTCTTCCTATAAAGTACCTTTAATTTTTTTTTATTTGAAATAAGTTACTATTATAACCTGATTTAAAAAATGGTTAAATATGAAAGAATTTTAAAATTATCTGAATGAGAAGGAACCTAATACAATAACGGAGAGCCGACGAAATCCGAGATCGCAGCCGAGCTATGCCGAAAGGTTAGATCAGGCTTCTTCAAATAAGCATGCGCAGTTTTCATAAATGCTAGCGTTGATATTATTTAATACTTATAGATTACAGAAATATACAAATTAAAATTCATGTCTATAACTGTTATCATGTTATTCTTCCTTCTTATCCTTAGCCTTCTTCTCCTCCCCTTCCCTTCCTCCAATATTTCAGCGCCTATCGTGATTCCTATGTTCATGGTTTTTGGAAAGCGCGCTGAAACCTCCTTACTTTAAATCAATATCTATTCAATATAGCTTTAACATCAAAGTTCTTTGTATATTTAAATAAATTAAAATTACATGACATATAGTAGGAATCTGCGTCTACTTGCGGTATCTATACGTGAAGAAGTTCGCCAGGTTCAGGAACCCGAGAGGTGTCTGGCTCAACAAGTTCGCTTTGTGGATTGGAATTGCTGCCTGCTTAGGGCTTGATTTGGTCGCCAACTTCCAAGTCTCTGCTTTTTCTATTCCTCATTACATCGGTGCTTTTCTCTGTTTTATAGGAGGAACAATCTACTTCTACCTACAGGTAATAGAAATATTAATCTCACTATCATATAAACAAGTTTTTAGTGACTGTCATATTTTATTTTAGTATTAGGAGAGTAGGAGGATTACAAAAGGAAGTCAACTTTTCAGCTCACCTATGGCGATTTTTTTACAAATTAAACATCTGTTCGTATAATTATATATTTGTCGAGCTCCTGTAACCTCATATTCTCCTAATACAGACTTTAGACTAAAAATTTGTACAGGAAGTGGTCTGATCTGAAAATCATCAGATTACAATCTATATCAACTATTATATTATATATACATTGCTATATAATTACAATTATTATGAAATAGAAAAAGAAGCACAATACAACGTACAATAAAAATATTTGAAATAAAAGGCTCAATTTATAATTGGGCTTATATGAAGTTGACAAGTTGAATATATATTATGGTTACAAATTGGCAATAAGATACGATGTGCAATATATATTTTTAAGGAAATTAAAAATCCGAATTGTTGTTTCGTTCAATTTTTTTCCCACGAACCGGCCCAGCAAGAACTATGCGAATATCATTTCCGTTTCCTCTTCACTCCCTCAGCCTTCCTCTTACTCTAATACTCTCTCATCCTCCTGGAATGTTCCTCTCGCTCTTCCTTAGTCCATTTTCTCCCTCGCCTCTCCCTCCTACCCACAAGAACCTCAACCCCTTTCAGTTTTTCCCTAAAAAGTTCTCTATCCAAGCAATCTTTATCCGTGATTTTTAGCCTGTCTGGTTCCTCTTTTATTTGTTTTACATATCCCCCATACTTTTATAGCTTCAAACTTTGTCAAAAATTTTTTTGTTCAGTCTTTCACTATTCATCCTGACCATGTGCTCGTAGAATCTCAGTATTCTGGTCCTGACGATTGTTTCCAAATCTTCCAAATTTCTGTATATTTCTTTATTGGATTTTAGTCTGTATCCTTCTTGAGTTACCTTGGGTCCGTGAATCCTCCTCAGAATCTTTCTCTCAATCTTCAGAATTTTCTCTAGGCTCGGAAGGCTGACTTTTTCTATACCATATAATATTACAGGTCTTGCTACTGTACAGTAATGCCTTATTTTTGCATTTGAGGACAAGTTTTTTTTTGTTGCAAACAATCCTGGTGGCGAAGTTCAGTCTTTCTAGTTTGGTTATTCTTCCTTCGATTGATAACTTATCCGTTCCGTTGCTACATATCATCTCCCCTAGGTATTAACACTTTTTGGTCTTTTTTATTTTCCCATATTTAGTGTCCAATATTTTCTTGGTGAAGTTGGAATCTGTTGTCATAACTTCTGTTTTTTCATAAGAGATATGTAGTCCCGTTTTCTCGAATATTTCTTTCAGGGTGTTTAACTGTTTATTTTATGATAATAAAAAATAATAAAATCTGAACTTCAGAGTACAAGTAAATGTAAATTACACTGATACAATTTGAGCAATGAGTAGTACAGTTAAATGAGCAGTTTGTATAATTTGTAAAATTGGGGTTGGTCTGTCGTTAGGCGGACAAGGGATATACCCTTAGTTAATATAAAAATAATTTTAATTCGATGCCCATATCGATATAAATGATAGGGCAACCCTGCTAATAAATACCTACTTACCAAATTATACCGTCCATCCTCTCTCATATCTCTATGGATATCACATCGATATGTTCCAAGCAGATAGAATTTAAAAAAAGGTAACGTTAATGTTCTTTAAAAATGTGACAGCACTGTTCATCAGTGGCGTCTAAACATGTCAGACTATTGAATATGACTTGAGTTGATTTGTTGTCGCTGACATTCAGAATTTGGCTTATATTCTCCACAATAAGCCTTTCTTTAAAGCTTCATAGTCAGATAATCATAACACATAAAGAATATATTTTAGAAACTAATAACGTAAGGCAGAGTTCTCCAAACTACGTCCCACGAATGTATTTTAAACTTCTTTTTCTTCTTCTTCTTTTGGCACAACAGGCGCATGAAGGTGCCCTTGGCCAGCTCAAAAGCCGCCTGTCATCTCTCTGTATCTTCTGTAAGAGTAACAGGAATCCTCAGTTGTCGCAGATCTTGCCCAATAGCATCCCTTCGTCAGTCCTTCGGTCTACTACGTCGACGCACACCAACCGGAACGTTAATGTACAATTTATGAGCCACTTCCTCGCTCATCCTCTTCTCATGGTGGATGAGAAGATGGTGGCCAAGCCACTTAAGCCTCTGTATCCTGACATACCAGGAGACGCTTCATTTCTAGTAAAGACTAAACAGCACACTATTTTTCCTTCTTCGCCAATTATTATTCTAGCTTACGGGACCTAAGATTCTCTTCAGAATGACCCTTTCAAACCTGTCTAGTTAATGCGTTTCTTGCTTAGAATCCACGTTTCTTCACCGTCTATGACGATTATCCTTATCAGCGTGTTGTAAAGCATAAACTTGGTGATACGGCTGAGGAGTTTGCTGTTGATTAGCCTTAAAATGGAGAAATGGACTCTTATTTTCTGCTGCTTTTAACCTCTTTTTCCTCATTCTGGTTATCGTTAATGATAAAGCCAAGATAAAAGATTCTGACCACTTCGAAATTGTAGAGGCCCATTACAAAGCTAATCTGCCTCTGATCCAGTGACTTCTTACCCAATACCATAATCTTCGTTTTCTCCCCATTTATATGCAGGCCCAACTTTTTTTGCTTCGACATCCATTGCTTCGAAAGCCATCTTAATGCTCTGAAGGGATAATCTGGGAAGATGACGACGTCGTCGCCAGAACTTGGATGAATTTTGTAAATATTATTTCTTCTTGATTTAGTCCTGCTCTGTTTGTGATTGCTTGTAGAGCGATATTAAACAGAAGAGAAACTATCGGATCTCCCTATTTTCCATTTTATATGCCATATGGCATTTTCCACTGCAAAAAGCTCTGATTATCCACAGGATTTTATTCCGCAGATTATGCTCACCATTGCACTTTTACTATTCGAGTTAGTTCACTAGGCAGCCCCATTCCATGCATGACCAATATTAATTCACTCCTTATAATTGTATCGTTGGCACCTGCATATTCAAATTTGAAAAACTGTTTAAAAAATATGAAATTTAATAAATCTTTCAAACACCATTATTGCAGTTACACCATTATTGGTCCGCGGGCCAAAACGTATGACGATGATTGGCTGAGGAAATAGAAAATACTAATGAAGCTTTGCAAGCCATTCACTAGAAAGTTGAAAATTAGGAGCATAATCGAAAGCACAATAACGGAAAAAGTCTTCAAATTATATACTCAATGACTTCTTGAAAAGTTTGAAGTGGTTTTATTGAAAAATGCACTTAAGCAAAGAGACAATGACATAACGCTTTTTGTCTTCTGTTAAATCATTGTTTACTCATACAGAGTATAAACAAAGTGGTGCAGAAAAGTTTTGGACATATTGTTTTAATTAAAAAAATGATACCATATTATTGCGGTAGTTTAATTGACAAAAAAAGGAACAAGAGAGATTCAATCTTAAACAAATAAATCCTTTCTTTTTTTATAATTCCCCTGAGAACACCTATTACACAACCAGATGTACAAGGATTTATCGAAGGAGCCAAAGCTAAATGTTCCTGAAGCTATATTTTACAAAGTCCTCAAAGAAATAAGAAAGTAAAGACTACAATACCTAAAATGAAGCAAGAACAATGATGCAAAAACTATCGAACGAGCATGTTGTAGAAAGATGAAGAAATTATTGCAATGAGTTCCTAGAAAGGAACTAACTTAGTTCGAATGAGATTTAGAGAACTGTAGAGGTTTTTCTAATGAAGAAGATTTTACTAGCAAGGTATAATTGTAACTTTATGATGAAACTTGACAAATCAAGCAGGGCTGGATTAAATAACTCCCAAAATGATTCCGTACAAGTTGAAGAAATTGTTCTCTATCTCTTAAACTCTATAAGACATAAGAATAGCATATCAATCAAATGACTGGAAGATTTTCTTTTAGAAGAGTGGTTGCCTCCATTTAAAAGAAAAGAGGTAATAGAAAATGCAATGAACAATTCTTATCCCTGTTCAATGTGCCGATCAAGCTCTTCTCAAGAATTTTAGAAAAAAGAATAAGAATTTCCAGAGCGGATACGATTATTAGATATTATAAAACTCAAGAAGTATACCTTGAGTAAAGATCTTGTTATGAAGAAGACCATGGAAGAGGAGTAAGAGATCCCTGTTGCATACTTGCTCCCAGGATCAACAGGTCTTTGTTACCTTTGGCCTTCCAGACTATATTCTGCCATCTGTCATGATCCTTGGCAGCGTTCCTCCAATTCATAACACCCAGCTTTTTAGGCATCTCCTGCTACCTTGTCCTTCCAGAGGCATCTCAGTCTACCTATTTTTCAACAATTTCCATGTCCATCTTCTTCTGAATCCTCTCTTTGTACATTCTGGCAACATGACCTGCCCTTCGCAGCCTGCTTGCTCTTATATAATTAAATATTTCTTGGTTTTTCAGTATGGCTGTAATTTATGTATTATTCTTGATCTTCAACTTCCAATCAATCTTTACAGCACCGTATATCTTTCTTACGATTCTTTCAAAAACTCTCAGTTTTTGACTATCTGTAGATGGTATGAACCAGGTTTCCGACCTGTAGGAGGCCGGCTTGATAAAAGTTATTATAAAGCTGTTATTTGGTCTTCCTTGAGAAAATTTTTTATATGAGTATAAGGTTCGCATAAGACGCTCCACTTCCAATCATTATTCTACTTTGTATTTCATGGCTAATGTTGCTTTCCATATTGATCATGAGCTACTGTTGTTTCTTTGATTATTGCCACTTTCATTGGCAGATCTACAGTCTTTTACAGAACTGCTCTATGGATCTGTAAAAGACATTTGGCAGAATCAGAAAGGAAGATGTAGAAACAAGCTCTTCTAGAAGACAATTGTCACAATTGCGGGTGTGAGGGCTCTCTATCCTTACGACCTTTAACAACCTTCAACCTTTAACCAGAGTTGAGATGATGCTGTAGGTTTTTGGCCTGAGGTGCACTTTAAGCCACCTAATATTTAGATTAAGTTAAGATAATTATAAACACAATTCTTTAATATTTTATTCCATCTAATTAGGTGTAATTTGTATTGAAAAATAAACAGGTCTTAAATCATAAAAATTTAATTATTAAATTAAGTTCATCAATACATATTCTCACTCCAGACTGCTGTTTCCTACAAAATGATGGAGGTTATTGAAATGCCACACTTGCATGTCCTCAGGACTTGGCTGTCTGTTCTGTCGTTTCTCCTCATCGTAGTTGTTGTTGCATGTGGCGTTGCTGCTAAAATGATGTTTCCAGGTAATAATATTTTGTTCTTCAAAGTATATTATAGCAATCATGAAAGATTTTTTAACTAAAATAAAAATTCACTATCCTACTGAGAAAAAAAATCTACAAAAAATGTCCAAGCATCAGTATAAATTAATAATATATAATACCATATTGTAATAGTGTTATTAGATTCATAAGTGTCATGCCTGGTTGACAGCTGGGTCAAGATCACATTAATCATACTATAAAAGGAATTCCAAAACCAACTTAACAGAAAAGAGACAAGACTAGTGCCTATTGGGTTCTTTTATATTGAGATTGAACCCTACCTGAAGGATATTGATCACCTTCCAGGATTCCATATACAGTGCAAGTGTGATCGATGTAATCTTGACCTATCTGTCAGCCAGAAATAACACTTGTTAACTAGTAATGAAGAAGCTGAATATTAGGAAATTAAGTGATATGTACCTTAGCTATTCTCTAATAAATTTTAAATAATTCATGAATATTATTGGATTTAATAGGTAAGGGAAGTGAAGAACGCCAGTGGTTGCCAAAAGACAGAGGTTATATTCCACATATCCTTAGTGCCGCTGGCGAATGGTTCCTGGTCCTTGCTCATGGAGCGCTTCTACTTACCTTCTTGCCAAGTTTCAGTTGTATCACGATCAAGGCACCCGTTGTTGTAGTAAGTATATTTTAAAATATTTAACGATCTTCGAATAAGAAATATTTTACTTAGAAGGAATTTACATGCATATATATATTTAATTATTCATTTATATAATTCACACAGATTGAAGGCATTACGGAATCTTATTCGGAACCAATACATATTATTTCAGCTGGGAATCCATACCGATGAACTCACCAAAGAAGATGGAAATGTTCAGTTTAGCTCAAAGATATTTATTTATGTCATATTTTAGTTATTAATTTTCTTGTATTTAGAAATTCCAATAATGTACTGAATAACATTATTGAACAAACTTTTATCACATATAACTCCTAAATGGTCCAAAGAAGCAAACAGTGTTCTCATTATGAAATTAAATAACGTTAAATTGTGTGTCAAACAAGTACCTAAATCTCATAATTTCCTTATGTGAAATGGTAGACAACCAAGATCAATGAATGCTGATTTTTACCAAACTCCAGGTGGCTCTGTAGTTTGGGAATCAGTTTCCTGGTATTTAAAGAAATAAAAAAGCAATTTATATAGTAATTATCATGATGAAATTTACTTTCATATTTCAAATTTCTTTAGATACAATCACAAAAAATGCAATTAATGTAAATATGAAAGATAAAAATTGTAACTATGCTGTGTGTTATTTATTTTGTGTTTGAGTGTTTTGTCAAGTTTTGTAATATGACATCATATATATACATATTACTCGTAAAGGTAATCTTGAAAGGAAGAAAACCTTCTAATTTTTTTGTAAAAAATAAAATTTTTATTAAAAACATAACAAATTTATATATTGATTTTTCTCTCTTTTGCCCATCTTTTGATAACCCTAATGATAGATTCAACCTGAGGATTAGTGGAGTTTCTCAACAGCTGAATTATGTCTGAAAGAAGGTTCCTAGAAAAATAAAAAAAATTAACGAAAAGCAGAAATAACTAAAACTGTGTGCTGAATATAATTATTTAACAAAGTAAAATTGTTTGTATAACCTATAAAGTAGTATTAAAAATATAAATAATGTTTGCATTTGATACACAATAAATCCGACATCATTATAGAATGAAATAAGATTTTATATTATATATTGCCAATTTTTTTTTTTTTTTTTTTTATGACTGATAACATTATCTAAATTAAAAAATAATCTTAGTAATTTTATGAACATCAATGCTTATAACAATATATAATTTCAATAAGTTATCGATTGATGTTGCTTGGCCATTGCAAACAATGATGTTAACAGGAAAAACATATATCGATTATTTCAACTACAGCTTGGTCATAATATTTCTAGTCTACGGTGTCCAGACGTCCAGCTTTCGGGGAGACAGTCCCAATTTTCAATAATTTATAACAAGTCCCACAGCGTTTTCAAGAAGTCCCGCTTTTCGGATAGAATGCACGACAAAAGCTAGGGAACGTGAAGAGAATATACGGTTTCCGGTAGCCATGCAGCTATTCCAACAGGATGTGAATCTCATATTATTTTCTTTGATTTTATAATGTTAAACTTTAAGGGTGCTGGGTAGCCAAGTGGACTAATGCTTGTGCTCAGCAACCTGATAACTGAAGTTATAGAAGATAAAATAAGTAAAAGTTCGCGTCCCGGTGCCTGAGGGGCTTTTAATTCTGGCATTAATCCCTCCCTCATCTCCTGGCTTGGATAACTCCATGTAGCCTAAAAGACGAAGTAAGAAAAAACAAAAAATGTTAAACTTTAATAATAACTTTTTATTTTTTACATAAATTAGGCCAATTATCACCAATATTTTATTGATACGCTATTAATTTCGACGTTTCGACCATACTAAGGGCCATTTTCAAGTCTTGATGGGTCCTCCGTTATATATTCATCATTAATGTCGCAAATAATTTGTTCAGTGAACATTAAATTGTCCTGCTCTATAGGGGTTTCGCCTACGTCATTTCTGGAGGAACTGATTCATAAGAACTGATTATCGAGAACTGTTTGGCAAAGTTCACATTGTTGATCAATTAATAGAATTTGACCACCATTGTATGAACCTAATGATAATAAACAACCCAAAAATGATCTTTTTAGTGAGACATCATTATTAAAAAAATATATTGATAAGGAAAAGGTTAAATCTTGTGCATCAGCAGATTAATTTTATGTACTGCTTCGATTACTGAAACGTTGTAACCTTTTATAATTTTTTAGCACAATTCCCATGATGACTATTTTAAGCTAACTAGAAGAGCAGAGGTTGTCATTTTTTGCCTCAGAACTGGATATAACCACCTATAATCTCATCTCTTTAGGAAATTCTAGATAGGACCCAGGTCTCTATGTGAATGTGGCCAAAACAAACAGACCAGAGAGCACATTATGTAAAGAAGGCAGCTGGTGGAGGACATATAGAGGCAGATATGGTCCCAACCAACAGATCTTGGGACCAAGCTGTTCCGAAGTCTGGAGAACCTAAGGAGGACCACTAATTTTATTTTTTTAATTCATGCCATAGCAATCTAGAGGAAAGAACAGAGAACAACAAGGATTCCAAACATTTCCTTTTTCTTTCTTTTTTTTTATAATTTGTAATTCTTTTTACATTGTTTTCTTTTATTCTACAATATGAAATTTTCTGTCCCATAGTATCGGAATATTTATCAGTATATTCCTTGCCATTGTAATTTTTATTTTTAAGAATACTTTTCCTTTTAAGAATCACTTTCCAACATTTTTACGACTATTTGAACTGTTAATAAGGGTTGAATTGTTCTTAGTGATAAATATGTGATTATTAGAGAGATATATTCATATAAAAATATTTTCAAATAAAAAGTCTAGACATTAAAAAAAAATATACCGAAAATAAATTAATAATGGAACTTTAAACAAATCATACTAACGTTGGCTGCTTGTCTGCTACAATTAGTTGAAAGACTCCAATGCAGGCACCTCGCTTGCCCTCCCAGTGTTCAGGTGTTGGATCCAATCTCTCGAGTAAGTCGAATGCTTTCGCTGCGTGATAAAATTCTCCTTTCTTATAACAATCGTTGGCAATCAACTGAAGTAAAGATAATGATTCAGTCGATGTATCCATCTTCAAATAAAGTTCCCAAGCAGCTTGGGCTTTTCCCTGCATTATATCTATAAATAATTATTTTAAAAAAATTATTATAATATTTTTTTTATTATTCAATATATTAATTTTTTTTAATTATTATTTATATTTTAATTAACTGCTAAGAGAAAAAGTGGTGTCCTACTTTCATACCCGTGTAAGCGATATCACAAACTTTTTAATAATTATGAAAGTGCATATTTAATAACAATACAATATATACAGGAATTTGTTACATGTATATATTGTATTGTTATGTATACTATACATGTAAATTGTTTCAATAAACATTTTGGAGGGTAAAAAAAAATAACTAAGTAAGTTATTGTATTTAAACAAATAAAAATTTTTGTTCATTATAATTGTTATCCATTCAAATTGAAAATAACTAATTTTTCAAGTTAATAAAAGTCTAAATTTTGACAAAACAAAAATTGAAATATTGTTGAGCATAAGTTCCACTAAATTAATTTATTTTTAATGGTGAAGAAATAGTTGACTGTAGACTAAGTATATGATTGGAAAGTTGGTAGAGGATTGCAGTCAGTCAGAGAGAACACACAAATTAAAATTAAAATTTTTTATTTTATTTTGTACTGATGTTTCTCATATCCTTTTACAATAGTTTTTTAATAATTTCAGCTGTTATCTCATCTTTTCTTAACCCCGATGAAGGCCTGCAACTTAGGCTGAAACCTTGACACCATAAAAATCTCTTGTTTTTATTTGTGTTCTCTCCCTGACTACAACCCCAACCAACTTCCCAACCGTAATTCTTTTTAATCAAATGAAAAAAAATATTGAATCTGAAAAGCGATTAATGGCTAACAGATTAAGCTAAACAAAGAGATATGTAAAATTAATTTTGGCTATAAGTTTCAATGTATTTTATCAACACATAACAAACCTACAATCTTACTAGTTAGTAAATAGAAAAAAAAATACATTCTATATTAAAAGAGTAGATAACTTTTCTTGTTTTTAAAGTCTTAACTAAATCGTAACTACGGATGGGATATCGAAGGTCCAATATCGATATTAACATCGGCCTATAACTACCGATACCATCAAAATATCGGACTTAAAATATCGATAGTCAATATTTTCATCGATATTATAAACATTTTTGAAATATCAATATCAATCCAAATATAAATAAAAGATGTTATTTTCGTCTTTGAATTAATTAATGAAAATATCAGTTCTACTCTCCTTAATAAAATTAATTTTCTAGTTGCTGTCCATCTTAATCATCCTCAGCTTTTTTCCCATAAATTTCCATTCAACCAATTATGCCTTCCATTCATACATAGATTGGATTCAGCGAAATACTAATTTATTTGCTTGCTTTGAGAAGGTTCTTACTAACAATTTGGGCAAATTGATTTTACTGATTGTGAGTGAGAAGGGGTCAACTTTACTTAGGGATGCCTATCGATTATCGAAATATCGATATTTTCTTCTACAACGCATTACATTCTATATGAAACAAGATGAGTATATATATTTTTTCTAATGATCAGATTCATATATAATTCCTAGTGCTTTCTGAAAAGTTTCTAAAAAGATAGTTTTAATTTTAATTTTTAAATTAAAGTATTCAAATATTTTAAGATCCCACCGTAAAACACAGGAATACATCTTCTCACTCAGGACTATTATTGAGAAGTCATAGGATAGAGGAAAGACTTTGTACTTGGCCTAAGTCCTCTCCTGTTCATAATATTTATGGATGAAATATTGTGAATATGCAAGGGCAGGACAACACGAACGGTCATGGGAAGGTGGAACATGAGGACAATCCTTGCTCAAGTGATGGTTTTCGCAGGTGATATTGTCCTCATTGCTAATTCCAAAGAAAATCTACGGCAGTTACTGTGTGAAAGGCTGAGCTAGAAAGAAAGCGCATGATAGTAAATGTTGAAAAGAGCAAGGTGATTGATGTACATTGGTCGTGAAGAGGAGGAAGTTTTGATCCACTGCGGAGGAGAATCCTTGGAGACAGTGCAGGAGTACACTTATCTTGGAGTAGGGCTCAGCAGAAACAGGAAAATTGACCAAGAGCTCTCAAACAGAATTGAAAAAACTAACAGCATATACTACCAGCCATGCAGCACAGTGGTGGGGAAAAGGGAATTGGAAAAAAAGTGTAAAAATACATATTTAAGTCCATATACTTACTACTTTTATTTATGGAAGTGAGAGATGGGTCCCGCTGGACAGGCACTGGAGTAGAGCTATTGCGGCAGAAATGAAATACCTCCGGAGAATAGCAGGCAAAACAAGGAGGGACAAAGTTAGCAATTTAAGGATAGGAGAAGATCTGGAAGTGCCTGCTTTGAGGAAAACAGTCGAAAATAGGCAGTTGGAATGGATGGTTTGGTCATCTATGCAAAATGGATGAGGACCATGATCCAAAGAAGGTTTTTGAGGCTAGGCTTACCAGATGCCATCTTCGCGGAAGACTTAGATTGCTATGGATGGACCACATCTCCATGATTGGTGAAAATATGGAGAAGCCTATGAATTCAATGAAAGCGCTGGCTCGGGATCAGAAAGCTTGGCAGTCCTGGATTGGGGCACCTCCACGCTGAGAGACACCAAGGAGGATGATAAAGAAGAAGTATTAAAATATCAAAGGGACGATATTGATAGTCAAAATAATATTGAAGTAGTAAAATATCGGATATTGGAAGAAAAATATCAATATTTCGATGATATCGACTATCGATGACCATTCGTAAACATAACTATCATACCAACACATAACTCTGAGAAAAAATACTGGAAACATTAAGAAATAGATGAAAATATCATATTATCATTTAAAGTGCTTTGTACTTACAACATCTTGCCATATGAGTAATATAGACATAATCATTTTGCAATTTATCATTCTGGAGTCGTGAAAATGTCTCTTCAGCTTCTTTATAATTTCCTAATGCTGATTTAGCCTTTAAAAAAACAAATAAATTTAAATATTCTAGTACTGTTAGTTCATTAAAGTATAAGTTATATTAGTCAAATATTAATGGTTAGTATCCCATAAGAGGATTTCCATTTTCAGGATGTACTGTTCTAGAAATTTAATCAATCATAATCAAATCCCTCCAAACCAGTTTCTGGGGTCTCTCATAGTCAGACGTTACACCTTCTAGCATACAGTAATAATTAGAACAAGTAGGCCCATGCAAAAAATTCGCACAGCATATTGTTTTCAAATGCCAAATTAATAAGAAATTAAAATAATATAAATAAATCAATTGTTACTTTATCGATAAATATAATCGACAAAGGAAACAAAAATTAATTTAAATCTTCATTAATGTTTGGAACCAACATGTTTACAAATTTCAATAAGCTATATCTTTGCTAAAAATTGTCCGATTTCGATGATTCTTTTTCTTTTTGTAGGGAATTTAGTAATCTTTCATATAATCATGGGCATAACCAAGGAAAAAATGTGTAATTTTTTAGTTATTCGCAAATAAAGTTTGTTTTCTTTCATAACTTGTTTGCCTGAATTTTCGGGATGATTGGACTATTTTGCCCGCCTGAAGGAGAAAGAAACCTTCGAAATTGGTGGCTCAGTCTTGAGATTTGGTGAAGAATTAATAATGATATGGCTTGCCGATCTAAAACACCATCGATAAATAATATAAACTCCTCTCTCGATTATAGATGCCTCAAGTCGACGAAATGAGACAAGTATTCAATTAATGACAGCAATACAATTAATGTAAGGTTGTGTGGATGCGAACTCTATGCCTTGCGTTATCTCGAAAATAGTACGCTTTTGGGCTTAAAAACGCAGGATCTGATAGTTCCAGAGGAACTATCCAGGTCTTGTTGTACGCATCAAAATCTTCAAGCTCCAATTTGTCCCGTATTGATCTACAGACCTACCACCGTTCCAGTATTGAAGCCTAGCAAAATGTTTGTAACGACTTTTTTTATTTTGAAAGAAAAACAAAAGTGGAGAATACAATTCGCTAACCCCCCGTGAAATTTTGAATCCAACGGTACCCCATTCATGGTATTTGAGCATGACAGGAGATTTTATTTATGACTAACGCTTCAGAGGGAATCGCTTTTTGATATGGAACGTTATAGTTATACAACTGGTGAATGGTATCTCATTTCGACTTCCATGCCAAACAAGCAACCTCCCCATTCCCAAACATCCTGGGACTAGTCTACATGGAAAGCTAATGACGCCTTGGCTACATAAAGAAGACGGGACGTGAGGAGAGGAGAAGGCCGGGAGATGAGGCTATCTTATCCGAGGACCGCGGCTTGGTAGGCACCCTTGTAACTGGAGGTTATCTTAATTGGAGGGAGGCGGCGGTGTGATTTGCTCGACACCGCTTCGTCGACAAGGAACTTACATTAACTGAGGTATTTTTATCTGCTTCGGGACACAGCGAGTAATTGATCCGCCCAGCTATTTAAATAGTTTCTCAGCCGGCTCATCAGGTCGCTAACCGCCGCCCAGAAGGAAATTCTACAACGGCCGGTGTCATCGTTGTCTGTAATCGGAATTCCAAGATTTTGCTGATTACTGGAGAAACGACATCTGTCTGAGATTGAATGACTGAGTCCTACCTAACCAGGTGGTATAAACAAATGACAATTCATGGTGGCTGACTAAATATTATATAATTTGATATTTATGTTGGTATTATAATGTTAATTTCAAAATTAACTTTACAACTCTTAGTGGCTCATCTTCTCTTACATGGGCATTAAAGGTACCAAGACAAATGGAAGAAATAACACTTACAAAATTTAGTAGAGTTTTGAAAGTGATCGATAAATTTATTTTTTTAAAACGGAAACATATTTTAAAATTGTTCTCCTATCTTTGATTCAATTTTTTTCCAGATCCATCGGTTGTCTCAATTCATTAATAATTTTCTTCTTAATTGCTCTCCATCACCCTACCTCCTCTGAAACTTTAGTAATTAAAGAGGGTGTCCCACAGGAGTGCTTTCAGTCCAATTTTATTTCTGTTGATAAGTACATTTAAGTCGGTATATTTGGTAGAAAACCGATTTTCAGCCTTACTGTAATAATATATGTGGGGGGATTGGGATAATTAATTGATACCTGAGCATAGTTGAAGTTGAAGGCATCATCCTTGAAAAAATAGCTCTTTATAGACGAGAGATAGAGATGGACATCATCAAACTTTCTCTGAAAGAAAAATGCTGACGCCATACACTGCCGCCCAGGAATGGTATCACACTCACTTACGCTGTTCCCAACCAATTGAAAGTATTGTTGAGCTGCTTTAATTAGCTCTCTCTAGAAACAACAAAATATAAACTGCAAAGGCTATATAATGCGAAACATTTGACATTAATAAAATAAAATATTATATATTGATTTGAACTTGTTAAATAATTCATCTAATAACTAAGATTAATACTTTAAGTAATATATAAAAGTATAGCCCATTTTCTATTTTTAATCACTTAACCCGAAAAATACGAAACCAATCTTGACCGAATTTTAACTACATCATCTTCATGGTCTCTGAAAGATTTAGTTATAGTAAAATATAACAATTTTCAATAAAAATTGGTACAAATAACTATAATATATTTAATTATATTTTATTGATGGATATATAAAGATAGAGTGTTTGTTTGTTTAAAATTTTAAGCTCAGGAACTATGAAAGAAAAATGACAAACAGCAGATAATGTTAGAAACATAATTATAAAATTATTAAATAAAAAGAAAACATCACTAAGTAAATTATAATGTTGAAATTACACACACACACACACACAGATATATATGTATGTATGTGTGTGCGTGTGTGTATGTACATACCCATACAGATTAATCTATATGCATATTTGTACATGTTTGCAGGAATAAATATCAAACTTTTTTTTAAATTTGTTATTTTATAAATTTTGAATTTTATTCATTTAATCAGATGCACCAGACCAAGTACATATACGATTGATCCAGGCATGTTTAAACCAAATTTATATATATACATAGATATTTTTTTGAGCAAAATAAATTATTTAAATACCAACTGAATTTGTTTCTTGTCCAATCACAGCATTAACAGTGGCTTTTAGAATGTATTCGTGTGATACTGTCGGTTCCAGATTCTTAACTAATTCATAGGCCTCCATGTAATCACCCTGAAATTTTTCAAAATTTTCTTTAAATTTAAAGATAACATTAGAGTAAAGTTATTTCAGTACACATGAATGTATTTTAGAAGTTATATTCATAATTTTTATTAAAAATATTATAATCTAATAACATCAAACACGAATATACCTGTTTTAAATAGTAAATAGTCAGGTTAAGTCTTGCTTCAGAGATGATATCTACAAGAGACGGTAAGACCTGTAATGCTCCAACACCATCTCTAAACGCTACTAGGTTATGTTTGATAATATCTTGTCCAAAGATAAAGGAAGGACTGATCTTTTCCTGTATCACATAAACAAATTAAGAAAAGGAGTTAGTCAAGGGTGCGGTCAAATAAATAATAAATTAAAATATATTAATTATTTTAATTTATAATTTATTTGACCGCACCCTTGACTAACTCCTTCTCATATTATATCAACGGTCAACCATCTCTACATCATTATAAACAAATTAAAGTCATCATAAAGATCATTTCATTGTTTAATCATTAATTACACTGTTCTGCAAAAAAGAAAAAAGTTGTTTCTCTCCCTTGAGAAGTTTTTCCTTATTTTTATATTATTATGTTACTAAATTCAAATCCGAAGTCCGAAAAATTCTATCAGGTACCATTTTTGAGAAAATGAAGGTTGTTTTAGAAAAAAACTGAAATAGTTTGTTTTTTCTTACTTCATTTATTTTCTTGTGAATAATAATATTATATTTAATGTATATATATATATACATATATATGATTATTTTTTTATAAAAACCCTTTTTAATCTCAGAGTATTTTATTATAAATTTAAAACATTTTTACAATATTTTAAAATTATTATTTTTTAACGTTTCGGTCCCAAAAGCCATTTTCAAAAATTCTTTTTAAAAAAAAAACAGTCATATTAAAAACATTATTACTAAAAATTTCTTAAAATATGTCTATATATAAAGTACTACTCTATGATAGTACTTGTTTTATTACATATAAAATGTTTTGTTTTATTTTTATTTTTCTTCCGAAATTCTACAAAATTTCTCTCCTTTTCGTCATTTTATCAAAAACTTGATCCTTGATTTCTTTTATCAGTAAACTTTTATCTGTTATAGTCAGTCTAGACTACAGCTCAGTGGAGATAAAATGAGAGTGATCAAGAGAGAAAAGAAATTAAGAATTAATTTTTCGGAAGAAAAATAAAACAAAACATTTTTTATTAAATAAAACAAGTAATAAAATAGAGTAGTATTCTATATACAGACTTATTTTAAGAAATTTGCAGTAATAATGTTTTTAATATGACTAATCTTTTGGTTTTTAAAAGACTAATGGCTCTTGGGGCTGAAACGTTAAAAAATAATAATTTTTAAATATTGTAAAAATGTATAATAAAAGACTGTGAGATTAAAAAGGATTTGTATTAAAAAAAATTATCAAACATAGATTAAATATAATAATTATTAAAAAATCTCACAAAACAATATGAATAACCTAAAGAAGGTCGTTTATCATAAATAATAATATATAAAATACTTAATCCTGAACATAATATAATTTTATGCCCAGTCAATGTGTATATCTATTCCTTTTATAGTGTTCATCAGCTGTCTATCGTTGCAGTGTCGAACAATAGTCAACACGTTAGTGCTTGTGATATGCTTATCTTCTCATTGCATTCATCGCCATCCCTCTTATCCATTTGGGCTATTGGTGAAACCATTTTCCGTTTTCACCTAAAACTGCTCCTAAGTTGAAAGATAAGAAATCCAAATGAGAGTGCAAAAAATGAATTTTTAATGACATATTGTATGTAACCCATGGCCTTATTAAAGCAATTCTTTCATTGTCTTTGTAATTTGTAGAACTTTTGTTGCCCAAACATTGTTGACACACGTTTTCAAATGCAGACCAAGCTCTTTTTTTATTTTAATTTAATTTTTCTTTGAATTCCGGATGTGATTTTTCTTTGAATTCCAGGTGTGATTTTTCTTTGAATTCCAGATATGTGGCCAAAAAATTTCTTGAAGTCTAGTACTTGAGCTCTCGGAATTTTTCCATGTTGTAATAGTCTGTAATAGCTTCAAAAATCAAAAAAAAATTTCATTTTTCGTTGAAGTTTTTATTGATAAAATAATATCCAAAATGTTGAAAAACAACTAATTGTTTGTTCGACAACACAAATTTCATGGTATATGGTGAAAAACATTATATCATAAAAAAAAATTAATCTTCAGTTCTTTTACCTAAGACTGTAAACTGAAAAGTGAGTCATAATATATTTTTAGTTTTTAAACTGTGAATGGAAAAAGTTTAAATAAATAGAAAATACCAATAATGCCATAATTTCATTTTCAGCAGCTTTCACATTCTCCAATTTGTAATAGTTGCAAGCTTTGAGGTTAAGAGCTATTGCTGAGTCAGGAAACTTCTGCAGATACGTTGCGAGGACCTCTTGTGACATATCATAATAATCGAGTTTGTAATAGCACAAAGCAACGTAAACGTTCAAAGCGATATATTGCCTGAAATGACATTTTTTTAATGAATTTTCACATATAAAAAATAAAAATTAGTAAACATATTGGAGAGTACAGAAAATTAGTTAGTATCTACAACAATATGAAGAGGTATCATTTATGACAGTTATATTAAAAAATTATGATTTTTAATTACAATCTCCCAGCTTCCTCTCTTTTTTATCTCTCTATTATATGAAAAAGTTTTTAGTGACCGTGTAATATTTTATTTTATATACCTATACAGAATGAGATGGACCATAATGAATACAGCAGTGGCATGAACCATAACGTACCACACATCTTATTCTCAGAATTATTTATCCTTTATTATTGTTATATATTGGCAATAAGAATAATTATAATAGTATAATTTGACAATAAGGCACGATGTATAATATAGATTTTTTAAAACATTAAAATTTTCTCCGAACTGTGATTTTGTTCCGTTTATTTTATGTTGATATAAAATAATAGAATTATGAACATGTAAATTACCGTTATACAATTTGAACAATGAGAAGTACAATTAAATGAACAGTTGTATAATTTGTAAAATGGGGGTTGATCCGCCGTTGGGCGGACAGGGTGTATCCCTTAGTTTCAAATAAAGGGCAAAAAAAAAATATATCCTACGTTTTAAAAACTTTAATATATTTTGAACAATTATGTTTTGTAATCCGTAAATTAAAATTTAATAATTAGCAATGAATTGTTTTTATCATAATTATTCATTTTCACTTGACTCATTTTCATACAGATCAAAACAGAGCAGTTTTATAATTTTAAAATGTGTTTGAATGTTATGGAATGATTTACTGTCTTTTGTTAATGAGCATTTTTTTTTTTTTTGTTATTTGTTGAAGAGAGGTTTTTTTGTATGTTATTGGTATGTAGGCGATTTAAGATGTTTTCTGTACTGATGATACTTGAATAAGCGGAATTTCTATAGTTTGTTTTTACATGTGTTTTTGGGACACAAGTGTTAGTGATTGGATTTTTCAAATCATAACCTAACGTCTAATTAATGTCTCTTCTTGAATTTTCACTCTTTATATAAATCATTTCAAAGGTTTGTTGAGTAATTTTGACTCCTCATTACTTAATACACCCTCTCTGGCAATTCAGAGCTGATTTAACAAATTTTCTTTTAAATAGTGTAGATATTGTTGAAAGTGAATAAAATCTTAGAAATGATTGTTGTAGGTATGAAACAATGATTCCCCTAAATTTCTATAAAAATAAAAGAAAGCTTTTTAAAACTATATTTTATTCTATTACAATTATTCACCTACATTAAAAACTTACGTAGATTGTGTTAGGGCTTCAACAAATTCTATATCATTATTCTGATGAGTTTTAATAACCCTGGGAAAAGATATTAGGGAGATTTAATAATATTAGACCTTCATAAAAACATAATTTCCAACTACTATTAATAGTACCATTGATAAAGACATACTTTGATCACAGTAATCCCAAATAGAAACTCTTTATTTGTCTTGAAAAGAAGTTCACAATCCTGTGCCCGTTAAACTTACCTCTGAGAAGTATAGCATACAACTATTTTAGGTAATTTATGTTTGAATATTGGTATTCAACCACGGGTACTTTACTTGTATTTTTTTTTAGTATGATGTTTTATAAAATTTGTATTTAATACAAAGTATTTTTTTTAAATAGGTATATTTGTATATCATAACATTTTAACTATCTTTTTTGGTGGATTTTCTTTCTTTTTTTTTTTAAATCTATTATTTTATTTATAATTTGCAAAATTATATGTTGGAATGAAAGGGAGATAAATTTAAAAAAGTCATTGTTAAGAAATATTCCCTTAACAATTGGAATCCTGGAAGATTCCAAAAAACAAAGCCTGACAAAACTGGTCAGTTATTTACTATTAGATAATTTATTATTTTCAATGATCAATTTAGCTTGAAATAACGAATGATGGCGCAAAACTAATATTTTACAATGTAAAACATATTTGTGGACTTGTAATCTAAAACAAGGCTGTGCAGACCAGAGGTAACCAAACTATCTAACTTTATGTACACAAGAATGTTCAAATTGGTAACTGAACGAGCAAAAATCATAAATCATACAGATATCATTGTAACATGTTCAACGAGAGTTAGCAATTTAAAAAATATATATATCTAATTGAAAATCAATTATAGAATGAATAAACATGATTACAATTAATAATGATAATCTATGATGGTTACATTAGTTAAGTTGAAAACACAAGTATTGAAAAAGATTTAAGAGTAAAGCTGAGCTTCACCGAGCCTAACATTGATGGTCAGATTGAAAATAATGCTCCCCTCTGAAAATTATTTATACTTTTCATGATCTTTAAATCAAAATATAAAATAAGAATGAAATGGTTGGACAAAAAAGTTGACCATCCACGGGCTATTTCCATCTTCGTTTATTTAACAGTCAATCAACAACACATAACATAAATCGCCAAAGAGTTGACCTAACGTTAATAAGCTTTATTAATTTACAATGGAGCTTTCTCATACCTGTTGTCGAGAAGTATCTTCTTGTAAATATCTATCGCTTCATGGTAGCTTGATCTCAAGTAATGAAGCGCCGCCAGGCAGAGCATATCTTCGGTAACGTTCTCGAGCTGTTGATGAAGTTCCATCAATTGGTTTTCATATCCTAGTTTGTGGGCTAGGTGAAACTGCAAACGTCGCTTCAGACTGCTTTTCGGAGTCTGTTCCAGGCCCTTAACATATATTGTTAATTATTTATCACAAAATGATCTTTATAAAAAACTTTTATCTTATTCATATTTGAAAAAAGATAAATTAATTAATTAAAGACCCAAATACTAAACCATATTATTAATCAGTAATTTTAGATAAATAAATTAGTAATTAAAATCGGTGGATACCTTCTGTGCTTCTTCGTATAAGCCAAGAAAGAAGTAGCAACATGCTAGATTGATAGACGCATCCTCAGGACGATCAGGTTCTTGAACCAATCTACTGTAAATGTCCATCGCTTTCTTGTAATCGCCCAAGTGGAAAGCGCAATAACCCAACCATTGGTCAGTTAGCTGGGTACCCTTTCCGCTACTTTGTTCAAACTTGTAATAAAAGTTAATAAATTATGCTATAACTTTATTTTTGTTTTAAAGTTTTAAATATATTTAAAGAAGAATAACAAAATATATAATAATTAAAGTTCTAATAAACAGAAACTGTAAGAGCTAAATTTCAACTTAATGTTTATAACGGAATGTATACAAATATTAAAATCAATGAGAACATAGAAGAGGTACTTTCATATATGAGTTTAGAAAAGAAATTGATAAATATTAGATATATATATGGGTAGTAAAAAAACACTTGCAATATAACGTCTAATTATTAAATTATTAATAAAACGTTTTCAAACTGGAGTTTTGGAGATCTCCGTCATCAAATATTTATTATGACTAAATATTTTTTATATGGATTTTGGATCTAGGAAAAATAAAAAACAATGAGCAATCCTCCCTCACCCAGACCTCTTCTTGGATGATTTATTCCGTCTTTCAACAACCAGTATTCAAAGATCGTGCTTCACATCCTACATCCAACAAATTCTAGGCCTACGTCAACTCAGATTTCCTTCCATAATCATTTTAGGGAGTCTACCACATTATATAGTATGTAAATGCCCCAGCTATCTTATTCTCGTAGTACTGAATATATCTGATTCTTCACATAAGTTCCTCAATTGTTCGTTAGTCTTCATCCACCATAATTCCTTTTACTTGGGCCATAGATTTATAAAAGCATAAGTACTTTCCCACTGGTGTGTACGATGTCCAGATCTCATTATACATTACAAGTTGGAGGAACGTCTAGCAGACTTAGAAGTTTTGGATATACCTGAATTTCAAAAAAAATTTCATCAGAGGTCAAAAGAACCTACTACCCACCTTATTCTTGCCTCACTTTCTTCACTAATATTATATAATCCTCAATGATAACTATGTCCAGATACTTGAGTTTTGGCACCCTCTCAAAGGAGAATCCTAGAAATCCTTGATAATAAAATGAGAGAGAAAAGTAGGAGTCTACGCATATGTTGAAATAGGAGATGGCAGAAGCGATGGAATAGTTTGAGGGTGGAAATTGTCTGTAGAGAGATGTGAGAAATATGGTGATTCCGGAAGAGGTTTTGATAAATGAAAAATCCTAAATTTTTAACAGAGAAGGAGATTGGCTGGTCATTAAGGTGTTGTATGAGAAAGTCGGTGTAGGATATAAGAAGGGGCTTGGAAGCAATGACAATGGCCTAGAAATAATATAGTAGGATTTTTCCTAGAAATAATCTTAATTTTTGTTATTACAATGTCTCAGAATAAAGTTATTTTTCGTTACTATTCTATTAATTACAATTTTTTTTCCTTACATGTTTACTAAAAAGGATGAAAGGAACTTCATTAAAAGTACTCTTTGGGCATAACTAGGCACCTATTGTCATTTCTTAATTTAATCACTACATTATCCACCACTAGCGGATTAAGGATTTAATTAAGGGGGGCTTCATCCCAAAAGCTTTCTTTTTATGTATAAAACAATAATTTGGAACAAAAAGAAATAAACTAACTGCCTATATGAAATAATTCTTGAAGTATTATCTAAACAACAATACTTTTAGAGATAATTTCTTAATATATTTTTTTCATAAAACATGATTATTTTTATTATTTTGGAAGGAGGAGTCTTCAGTCCCGAAAAAATTTAAATTGAGATAAAGTTTTTAAAAGATTTAAACTCAATTAAAGTATGTACATTGCTAAAGTCGCCAACTTATTTACCTATACGCATAAACGCACTGTTACAATATGGAAATATTTTATCTTTAATCTTTAGGTAAACTATCAGGACAAATAATTTAAGATTCTTGTCTTATTTAAAAGAGGATTAAATTCTACTTGGTTGGAACTAGTATGATTGACCCCAAAAAGTGTTGTCATTAATTGAGCCTTTCAGCAGAAAAAGTAATTCCAATTTTAACATTTTTGAACAGTAATTTTAGTGATATTCCTACTTGGAAAATTTATAATATCTATACAGACAGTGAGTTAAGTTGATTCCAGAGTAGGCACCGCCCGTACCTACTCTGGAATCAAAATTATCTTTATAAGAATTATTGTTCGTCTAATTACAATTAATAGGACTTCAACAATCACTTAAAGACCATTTCATATAGCTAGCTAGTTTCTTTCTTTCTTCCTAAGTCATTATCCTAATATATTTATACAAAAAAAATATCTTACGGGCTGAAGCCCTCCAAAATTAAATCCTGGATCAGTTAGTGAGAGTAGGTGACTGTAGTGTTCAAATATAGAATTGTGAATAAGGGTGTAAATTTTCCCGATAGAAATATCACTAAAATTAATAATCAAAAATGTTTAAATTATAGTATAGTCGTTGAGTCAACTAAAAGGCTAAATTATGAAAATCAACTTAAAACCGTTGAGACAAACAATGGTTTTTATCAGCAAATAATCACAACTTACTTCCAGCAGTGTGATAGCCCCAGTATAATCCCTGTTGGAAAGGAAAGACTCCAATGTTGGAATAGCTTTTCCATGGTTTTCTGGTTGATGACCACCCAAAGCTGGTTTTATGCGTGATAATATCTGAAATGTTAAGTAAATGTAGAAGAAAGATCATTTATAATCCACAAGATTGAACAGTAGATTATTTACCATCTTCCACTGAAAAATTCTTGTTTGGACACCATCACCATGGTTACCACCTGTTAGTTGTATGGATGGCGGTTTTTTTAAAACAGTCTCTTTTATACTGGTTGTTTTGGGGGAAAGAAACACAAATTGTTCACAAGACCAATAACCGAATATGTTTTCAATCAAAAAAATAATATGAGTTCGTTCAACTTCAAACCTTCAAATAAAGAAAATAATGTTAAATTGGTAAGTGGTCAGCGTGTACAATTCATTATGACCAAGGTTACCTGGTTAGTCATGTTTCATTACCTTAATAAATCTCAAGGAACTTTGAAGAATTTTCCCTTGTATAATCAGAAAATTGTACACTTGTAATTATAATTAATAAACAAAAGTGTTTCTGTCAGTTTGGTGTTCTTAGTCAATTTTTATACCGATAAATAAGCTGGAGATTCACAATAACATTCTTAAACGTTCAGTTCTATTAAATGTACTTCGTGACTTTTTGCAATAACGACAATATTCCCCCTAAACTTCTTGAAATGTTCATCAAAATCCACCAACTTTAATCTTAAAAGTTTAATTTTTATTTTTCTATTATTGTAACTAATATTATCTCTCTACAATAACACGAGAGTAGATTATAAAAGGTTTATTTAATTTTTCTTTGTACTCCCCTTCCTCGCCTCTTCGGTTATAGTTTTTTTTTCCCCAGGTCAGGGGAGAGTGTGGATATTAATGCCAGAATTAACCTCCCCCCCTTCCCGTTCCCCTCTGGAACCAATACTCTTAACTCGTAATTATTTTATCATATTATATTCAGTTTATCAGGTCGTGAGGGCCGAGGATGTTAAAACGTTAACTTTAACATTCTGGAGACTAACGACATCGGTTCGGATCCGGCCTAGGAAGATTAAAATTAATTTCATGGCGGTCTCGCGGAATGAATCTCGACTTTCCGACTCTCGTTAGAATAGGTTTGGTTGTACATCTAGAAAAAAACCTCTTCCCCTCCCCGTTTGCCAGGAATGGCGAGGTAGGGGGATTATCCTAAGAAAAATAAAATAAGGTTATCAGGTTGCCGGGTAATATGACTTACACACGCGTTAGCCCATTTGGCCGCCCCGCCCCCAAATTTAAAATAAGTTGAAATATTAGTTCAAATATGGAAACAAAAAGAAAAATCAGTCATGAATATCCAATAGTAACAAAAGTAATTCAAAATATTCCCCATTCACAAGGTGTGGTGTATTATTAAGACCACTAGCGGATCCATGATTTAATTTTGGGGGGGGCTTAAGCCCGAAAGATTTTTTTTTCATATACATAACGATAATTAATTTGAAAAAAAAAAGAAAGATACTAACTACCTATATGAAATGGTGTTTAAGTGATTCTTGAAGTCCTAATTAATGTAATTACACGAAAAATAATACTTTAAGAGATAGTTTTTAATATTTTTTTCTATAAGACACGGTTATATTTTACCGTTTGGGGGGGGGGGGGGCTTCAGCCCGAAAGCTCCCCCCCCCCGTAAATCCGCCTGTAATTAAGACTATACCCACTTTACCCGAAACTAGTGGCACACATTACCAAAGGACCACGTTAAAAATGGATAATTGGGCATGGCAACATTTTTTTTTTTTTTTATTATTAGCCTATTATTCTACAAGTTTCATAAATAAATCAATAAAAAAATTCAAGATGTGTTTTCAAATCAATGTCTAAGAGCGTGTAAAATAACGCTTTGACAGGCAACCAGCCACACGATAAACTGAAGTTTTCAAGATATAAAATAATTAGGAGTTCTCATTCCCATGTCGGAGGACTTTTAACAGTGACATTAACCCTCCGCTCTCTTTCCTGAAGCGAGAACTCCCCGAATATCTGAAAAGTCGAGAAAGGTGTGGAAAAAAAATATCATTTTGGATAACTACCATATTTTATTATTTTGAATTATATAGAATTCTGTCCCTCTTCCATATCCTCGTACTCTCAAAATACAAGATTCCCTGTTTCTTGCCTCTATAGGTCTTCTCACCAGGAGTGCCCAGGAGGTTTCATGGCGCAAGTTGCGTCATAAAAATTTTTTAGGGGGACATATTTTGACGTTTTTTTTTTCATTTTTTAAGTGATAAAATTTCGAAGGGGTTATGAATTTTCGAACTAAGTAACAAGGGGAAAACATGGAACAGACTGCAGCAAGTGTGATTGAATATGATCTAAGATTTTTCTAATTCTAGCTTAGCTTTCTTTTTACAAGAACAAGTCAGTAATAAAATATAAAGTAGAGTAATAAAAATAATAGGGAGGTGGTGGGGGATTAGATTCTTGTCCCATCGACCTTGAGGGAAGGGGGATGGGCACCCTTGATTCCTGCAGAACTAAAACCATTCCTTCTTGTGCCCTCCTCTGTTTTCTGGAACCCCCAGTCATTTTATCGGCCATAGCTCTTCGCTGTCATCATTCATATAACTTTTCAAATACTTCCACACATCACAATCAGATGCTCCACAACCGTGAAAATACATTTTATGAATGGAACTTTGATACAAGTGTATTGTAGATCATAACATTTAGTAAAGAATCAAGGCATAGTATTTCTATCTTTTTCTTTCTTTTTTTTATTAGAATTACATTTCTTCATGAGAAAAATTTATTTTTTGTAGTTTCTATATTTTTGCTGAATAAACTGTATATGTATATTGTACGAATTTTACAGATGTAGTTTTTGGCCATATATGACTTATTTTTATTTATACAAAGCTTGTTATTCTTAATGAACCTTGTCCCTGAATAAAGTTTGTTTCTATTACTAGTTCTAATAATATATATTATCTATTTATATATTATATTATCTAACAAACTTTGAACTTACCATAGCTGATTCTACATTTTGAATTACCATTGAACAAATAATATCACTATAGCTTTTAGATAAAAATAAAAGTCTTACATTACTTTCTGTGATTCTGGGAAATTACAAAAGGGTCAAACCTTTCCCTCCAATAATTTTAAAATCTAAAAAGTATAAAAATTTGAGAATATATTTTTTCAAACTACAAAAAGCGTGATAAAATATTCACTAAAAGAATTAATAGGAACGCTTAAAACATGTATCAATAAGTATCTTTAAATATTAAAATATTTTTTTACATTGTAAATAAATTCCATTTTTTAAATTAAAGTTCTGGAAAATTTAAAATTTTGGGGAATTTTATATCCCTTCTTCTTCTTCAAAAAAAAAAAAAAAAAAAAAAGAAATATCTTGTGACTTTAATTTCGGACAGCTAATCTTTAGCAATAAGTTAATCTTTTTTCAGTTCCTCTCAAAAATTATAAAATTTTATAAATTGAAACCAAACATGTAACTCAAAAACATTAAGATTTTTTAAACGATTTAATAAATGGTTCCTACAGTTTCTGTTTAACTATAGTGAATAAAACAGCTATATTACACTGCATGCTATTAAAAATAAATTTGAACCCATTTCTAAATTATTTGGTTTTCGATCTAATATTTGTAAGCACTTATGTGGTATTGTAACCTGTAGGATTTGACATGTATTTTTGAAAATCATATTATTATAAGTGTGTAAAAATATTAATTTCCTGTTCCTTTTTATATTTTATACTTTTTTTCTCACTCAAATTTTCTTTTTAACTTAACATTGAATAAATACTATTATTATAGCATCTGTATGAAAAACATTTTAAAAAATAATATTGGTGAAATTATAACAGAATTTTCTTTAATTCATGTAATAGATTTTATAGAACCTTAAATTTCTTCATATAATCTTAATATTATTTCATATATTTCTTAATATTATCTTAATATTTCTTCATATAATCTTCCTTCATATAATCTTAAGTTCTAAAATAACATTTAAAAAAATCAAAATAGGAAATTTCAGGAATATCAGAAGTGATTAAAAATAAAAAATAAATTCCCATCAGAATCCACTTGTTTCAAGCCTTGCTTCTTCCTTGATTCCTGATAATCCCCCTAGGCATCTGAAAAGAAGATGGCTTCGTGATCTTCTCACCTAGAATTAAATAGAGAGTGCAACCACTGGGCAGTATCTCTTCAAGACTGTTCATGTCACTATTCCCAATGTGTGCATTTTTACTAGTTGTATTGTTTATACAGTTGTAAATTTCATTAAATAAATAAATAAAATCATTTCAAGACCAGATAAAAAGCATTATATCTAAACTGGCTTTCACTTCTTTATTTTAAAGAAGATAATGGTAACAGAAAAACTATGTTTTTTTTTTAAGAATACCTGAAAAATGGGAAAGACAAAATACCAAAAAACAACAACGATTTATTACATATGTCTATATTTCTACTCTTTCTTAAGTACTCAACATTAGAAATTTATCACATAATATAATATTCATTATAAGTAATATATAATATACACTGTTGGACAAAATTAATAAAATAACTTTCAATTTTAATAAGTAAAGAGAAGTAAAGAACTCGTAACATTAGCGGTGTCACATCTTAGAAATAAAAAGCCAAGAAATATTATAACTTAGATTTTTAGTTTATTTTGCTGTATTCAATCAAAAATAGATCTGGTTATAAAAATAAGTCAATTAAAAAGAAGATTTTGATTGGCTAATTAAAAAAAAAAAATCTATATATCAATAACATCTCTGAAGCAAATCAAATTAGTAAAACTCCACAAAATTCTCTGAAAAAGATTCTTGATAAAATCTTAAAGAATGCTTTCTTATTCCATATTCTTCTCAGAGGTGGTAGGAATTTGATTCCATCATTTTTATTATTGTTTAAATCAATTTCTCAATTGGAATCAAATTAGAACTTAAAGCTGGCTATAAACACACACACATAATATGTGAATGAGGTTGGATCCTCTATGGAACCTGGCTTTATCCTGCAAACAGTATTGCATGTTCATCGGTTATGTGTAATAAGTACCTCTGATTTTTTAATAACACTGTTGGAGATCTTTCTTGAACAAGCAATTCAGTGCAGACATTTAAGAAAATGCCACCATATAACATTAAAGAGACACCATGGAATGGCAATTAAAAAACCGCACAGGGTGGGGTTGTGCTATTTCCAGAGCTTTTCCACCTGGAATTACGCCCACCTGATTGGATACCAACATTTATCTCTGACGGGAACCTTGGCATCATTAGAATAACTGTAATGCTTGATTGAAGCCATTGAAAACAAAACATAACATTTAAGATTTTCAAATAAATAAAACAAAGTAAAAAGAATAACAAAAGAAATTTTAAAAACAAGAGCATAATGCCACTTTTCATACAAACATGAATATTCAGTAAAAATGTAAATAAAGCATTATTTTACAGTTCATTTTGACCATAATAATTCCTAATTAGATAAAATAATATAAATAGATAATTGATTAAATTTTACACAAAAAAAATTAAACGGTACTTCAACTTTGTCCATTATTGTTTTACAAATAAGGGTATTTGTATATTTTAAGTATTTTCTTCTTCTACTGCTTGTAACTCATAGTCCAGATGATTGTGGTATCCGTAGTTATGTGCACCTCAGGACTTCCATCGTATGTATTAGAAGAACTGATGATTCCTCCAAATTCGATTGTATGGTTGTCTAGAAATACAATTTAGATTAGAAATAAAATTTATTTATCTATTCCTTGGGATCAGGTAGAAGAAGATAAAGTAATTTAGAGTTTTTTTTAACCTAACCCTAATTCATAATTATTCACTTTTTATAATATACTATTTTTACAATTAAAAATTGTAAAAAGTATACCAAATAAAATTAAATGCATCACAAAGCATGTTGATGATCTTAATACAATCTGTCCTAAATCCAAGCATAAAGTACCAGCTCACCGAAACCATCAGAAGGAACATTCATTAACTTAGGCTAATAAATTTCGAAATAAAAATAAAATGGGTGAAAGGTCACTCTGGCGTCGAAAGGAATGAGATCCATGACAAATTAGCGAAAGAGGTGTGATCTATCTTTGACATATGCTAAAGCCTCACTGTCTTCTATAAAATATGAGATCAGAGAAAATTCAATTTTAAGTTGGAACAAATGATGAATTCACTCAGAAAAGTCACCCAGTTTGCACAGATTTATTCCAAAATTAACAAAAAGCGACTATAACTTACTCAAATCTACAAATTACAAACTGACACAGATTTAATCGAACACAGACAGACAAAATCATACTTAAAAAGATTAAATTTAATTAGTGATGATACTTGCTCTTTAGACGGCCAAGAACAAACTTTTAAAACATATAATTTATTACTGTCAATTATTCAAACTGTATTGATCTAACTACATTGATTATGACAATATTTCTAAAGTGAAAAATCTGGCCAATATCAAAATTTGACTTGTACAATAATTTTTGACAAGAGCTCACACAATTTATCAATAGTCTAGATTATAACCAACCAACAAAACCCTAAGGAAACGGTAAGCACATCACATAAAGTCACTCATAATTTTGTATAATATATTAATTTATAAAGAAAATGTACAATTATATTTACCTACTTTATAACTTTTGTATTTTTTAATTACTCAACTAACTCTGTTAGTTGAACTTTATATGCTAATCTTATTTATTGATTTATATTTATATATTTATTATTATTTTAGTTATGTTTATATTATTATGTTTGAATTGAATCATGTTTCTTATTAGTTAATGTTAAAGTTATTTGATAAAATATTATAATTAAGGTGCATAATAAACATTTGTATGGAAGGTACCATAATAAACAGTCCTTTCAAAGAGTTAGTTTAAAAAGGAAAAAAAGAAAGAGCATATTGATGATAAATTTTCCATCAAAATGTTTGTATTTCTGTTTACTGTTTAAAGAGTGAAGGGGGACATGGAGAAGGTCTTTTCCGTCTCTCCCCAATTTTCTAGCTTCAAATAAAAATGTACATCACAATACGAGGTAATATAAATAAAACTTTTTATTTTAACTTGATATCAGGTAATTAATTATTATGTTTCAGCAGCCACACTTGACCCTGGGACCGGAGACCCTCCTGGCGCACACCCAGCCCTAATAAAGTGGGTACTCTTAATTAAATAATTGAGGAGGAAAACCTGGCAGTTGATTGTGATACTGGCCCAATCACCTTCCTGCACAATCATGGGCCTTGAAACAGTACTTCCTTAGAGAGTAGTGAATCCAAGACCCTTCATGGGTTGTAGTGGTACAATATTTTGTGCTTTTTATGTATCTTTTTTTAATAGAACTGAAGAAGAATTCTTCTACAACTTCTTCTTCTTCCTCAGCGCTACTGTCCGCGTGGGACCTAGGTCTTCTCCACAGTTCTTCATCTACAACTTTGGTACACATAAAACTGAAAAAGTTATTTTTATTATTAACTATTTGGCAGCATTCCCTAACACCCTAGTTCTTATACAGTTTTGAAGGTAGTTACTTTTAGTTCCCCCTGAACATTAAAGGATAAATCGATATTGCTTACCTAAGTTCCATTTGAGCCCTTTTGAAGAAACCTTAGCTGGCTTAGACAGTGGCAATATCCCACATAACTCATTCTGATTGCAGAGGGGAGGAGGAATGTGGATTTTGTGTTCCCCAGGGTGTAGCATCCAGCTTATGGAATCTTTGGAGAACAAAAACCCATCTAGGGTGGCTCGGTACAGAGTGTTGAGGTTTGAGAATATTTGATCTAATCTTCCAGAGTTTTCACACACAACAACAAAATTGTCAAGCTGAAAATAAACATAATTTATTGAAAAACAGATATACTGAACGTATTTAGAAAATAAAGAAAAATTGTAAATCAGACACAAAAAATAAACATAGCTATAAAATATTAAAAATCTACTAATTAAAGGAAGCTTTTATTTATTTATTTTACTTATAATTTATTCCATAATTAAACAATATTGATATATAAACCGATTGTACCAAGATAAAGTAACTCATTATAAAAGACATAACAATATAATTATCTCTTAAGAGAAAATTGCAAAATTACTTATCAGCAAAAATATAAAGTAGATTGAAAATAAAAATAGTCCCCTCAGAATCTGATATTGTTTATTACTATTATTTGGTACTACTTTTCAAGTGTTTCTCCACTTTGAAGGGTGGGCAAAAGATCTCATGATCAAACTGTAAATCTCCAAATGACCTATATTGACTTCTCCATAGGTATAACCTCTCTATTTCAATCATGATTTACGATTTCCACAAACTCTATGTCTTTTTGAGTTAAAATCGGGGCCTTAATAAACTTTAGTTTTACTTCAGCTATTGACTTTCGCTCAATCTTAATGATGAACAACCCAACAAGTCGTTATCAGTAGAGGTCAGTGCCTTATCAGAGAATTCGGTCACTTCCGTCAACTTTCCAACACATTCGGCCATTTTCGGGATTCCATCTACAGTATGATCATGGGTTTTATGTCCACTCCCTAAAGTGGAGTTTGAATGTTTGAAATGTAGTACCTTTTATTTCGATATGAACAAAATTTGTCTCTCTTAACACAATTAGCGATGAATCGTTAAAAATAAAAAAAATATATATAAATAGTCCTTAACTATTGCTTGATCATAACAAACCATATTTTTCATCAACAATAGCAATTAAAATCCATTGCTTGTACAAGACTAAATACTAACTTTTTTGGGCGAAGTTGTAATTAACACGTTTAATCCTTTGTCGAAATCCGTGTAATCTTGATCAGGAGTCTTCATCACATTGATTCCATCTTGTTTCTTACAATAATCCATTATTTCCGGTCTTATCGAGTCGAAATCTCCAGTGATATAGTTAGGAAGAGGAAGAGAAAGAGAGTGTTCTTTGACGAAGTCAAACCAACGGTTTGTACCTCCATCGACCGTAATCCTCCAACATGCTGTAAAATTATTAATCGTGTCCAATTACTAAAACATGCATTTGTAGAAAAAAAAAATTCTTATAACTAAAATAATGCATTACTGGTTTACATAAAGGTATTATTGAACTTACCGTTAGACCACAATTGGCACATATTCTCTGGTGAAATACATATCGGTCTATTCAAAATCAAAATTCCATAAGCGCCAAAGTTCGAAAGGGATCCGTTTTCGCAAAAAATATTCCAATCTCTATCAACGGTATTAGCCATGGCGTCCTAACGGAACAAATTCAACAGCACAGTGTGAGAACGGAGTAGATACTGAAGTTTTTACAGTGAGGTGCAAGTATGATGTAATGACGACCAATAATTCGAAGAACTGAAGTATTAATAGAATCTAATGAATTACATTACACTCGTATGCAAATAATATAAATGTAAATAAGTATATAAATATTTCTCAGATCCGGCTAGTCGGTAAATGGATTGAGGAAAGTGGTCATAATAAATTAAAAAAAGCTTTTATCAACTACCATTTCTTTCAGATTAGATTTTATTGAGTAAACAACTCGAGGGAAATTCCTAACACATTCTCAAGTTTATCAACACGGAAAGTTATAAGAAAACTGCAGGCAGATTGGGGATTCCCCAATAATAGATGATACGCAATTATATTTTTTTATTTATTTTTTCTTATGAAATACAAAATAAATACACCATTCAACTCTATATTTAAAAGAAAAACTAGTTATAATTATTTTGAAGGAAAGCGGTCACAAATATACATGCGATAACATGAAAGAAATATTTCCTCAAGACAACTTTATGGTACAATAGATTGATAAATTTCATATGAATGAAGCTCTAAAATCTTGTGCACATCATGTCTAAAGGACAATATTGTTAATCGATATGGGTCATATTTTAAGTTAAATATTAGTTATATTAATATCGTCTATATCTATATTATTTTATCTTTGAAATAGCTCAGGGTAGATTGACATGTCATAAATCCAAATAGGTATAAGATTGAGCACCTGTAAATTTAACTTTTATCAGGTGATTTGGTAAATATATATCGATAAAAAATAACCAGCTCTCTTATCAGGAAAAATAACCAGGCAGGTTCCATTGAAGTGGTATTTTTATTTACTTATTGACTTGTCAATATTACTTCTAAATGTAGCTAAAATTGACTAAATAGATATTAGATAAAATTAAATTTGCAATATTAGGCTATGAAGTCGTGTCACAAGTGAAACGAAGTGATTGTAAAGCATGTTACACGAATGAATTTTTTCCTAATAGAAAATTTATCGTCACTGAACAAAGATCTATTTCTTTTAACTAAAGTTTATTATATCATTAAAAAACTCTGCAAAGATAATAAAGTTATGACTTAATGGATTATATTAGTTGAAATATTCCGTTTTAATAGTTCGATAAAGGGTCACTTACAGGGTCATTATTGAGTTTCGTCAATATATTGACTTTGTAAGGGCTAAATAAGCATCAATTATATTGAGGTTAATATCATTTTTTTTTTTTTATTGAAGCTCCTTCAATATTATTGAAACATTATCAATATAATTGTACGTGTAAGGGCTATATTGAGCAATATTAAAACACATATGCGGATCTTGAGAAGCTTTGGTCGATAAAAAATTTCCGGTAACCTTCCTGGAGGGATTCGGTTTTTAAAATATAAAACGGATATACATATGTTTCGGTATGTGGGTGATATTTTTTTTTTGGGGGGGGGAGAGGAGGGGAGTTAATTTCCCGTGATATATTTTTTTTAAACATAAAACGGATATATATTTCGGTAGGTGAGTGATACTTTGCTTTACTTTATTATTATTATTTTTTTTTTTTTTTGAATGTGTGGTTAACGCCCCTCTTCGAATTATTTTTTAAATATAATTATTTTTTATGATACTTTTTGTACAAAATTTAATAACAATTTTTTTTATTACTAAAATTTCTTTTAAATATTTAATAATTAGGAAACAAGAAACGTTTTAATGTCTAGGAACAAATAAACATTACAAAAAACACTTTATTTTTTATGATAAAGCCAATGCAATTAAAGTAATAGGAAATTCGTTTCCACAAAAAAGAAAGATTACCTCTTTGGAATATAATTGACCCGTGTGAGATACCCTTTCAATATATTGCCTTCGATTATATTGCTTCAATAATATTGGCTCAATAATATTGACCGTGTAAGGTTCCCTATAGTAGTTTTTACAGTCCGAAAATCGATTATTTCGAATTGTTTTCTTTGTAACACCAAGAAATAAAAATATATTAGTCGATTCGGCAATAAAAAAATAAAACAAATAAGAAGTGTTTACTGCAAAAACGAAAAATGTATAATTTTTGTTTTTCACCATTATTTCTTCACAACAGTTATTCCACTTCAGAGTTGGAAAGTATCCAGAGAAAATCGTTTACCAATATAGTTTTTAGTTTCATACGAGTACTATAATTGTAAACTAAGATATTGTCTGGCAATTACATGTACTATTCGGTGTTTGGTATTCACGAATACACTAGTACTTGCAAATAGTAATCGTGAATATTTTATTTGCATTCATCATAGACGATTACATCTTAAAACAATTTCTCCTACAATAACAGACTGGAGAAAATCCCTGGAGAAAAAAAAACCTGGAGTTCCAAGGAAAATATTCTCACCTCCTCTCCCCTCAAATATTAATAATCCATTAAAATCCAATTTTGTCCTTAATATAATGCATACAATAAACCTTTAATGTAAATATTTGATGTAATTATCATATAATATAAATAATTTTATATATAATTTATTTTAATATAAATTTAAAAGTTAAAAATAAAACCTTGCAGAGTGTACTGCCCTCCCCCCCTTCGGAATCCATGCCCTGGGACTTTCGCAGTTCCCGATGCCCCTCTCTCATCGGGCCTGATAACTGACAAGCTGAAAGACTTATCAAATATGTCCGACAACTGTATCGTTTTTTCGCGTATGTCAAAACAGTTGATTTTTTAGCAAAATTATTGATTTTCAACCATTTCAGCGTGGTAAGCATTTAAAATAAGGCTAAAGTAAATATTTAAAAATCGACATATAATTCCATTTCGACATTCTGCAAGAAACTACTTACGAAATATAGAGTAATTCCCCCACTCTTAAATGAATTGCCCCCCTTCTAACTACGACCTTGGTTGCAACTGCTTCTAAACAACTTTCTACTTTATTTGCAGAACTGAATTACGCCTGACTGAGTAAAACGTAGAAAATATTTAGTATTTGTATTCGCTTGTATCAAAACGGAGTAATTGTTATTGTATGCGAATAACGAATACAAATTGATATTAATAAATACTTTTATTATTCATTGTTCGTACTTTATTTAACATGTCAATAGAGGAGTAAGTTAAGGAAGACAAAAAAAGCGTAAACTTACTTGTAATGCCCGATCTTTTAACAAAACATATAGTATTGATTCATACGAGTCGTGTCTAGATGACAGGTAGACCTAGATCACACAGACCACACTGTACAGAAAATGCCGAAATTTACCTACACTGTGAGAAGTGAACGAATGCAACCGAACACCCAACTCATAATTAGCTGATACTAAATACCGAATCACCATCACTTCTATCAATTAATAATTATAATTGTGCGAACTGACTCATAACTAACGTTTAGGTTATTTTACGTGCCGATAATTTCAATATTTATGTCGATTTCGAAATAAACATACTCTTACATGTTTTGGATTCAAAACAATAAAAGCTAATACATTCACATATTTTTAATTTTATATTTGAGGATTTTTAAACGGTGTTATGATCAACAATGATTAAAAGGTTAGGAATTCAATGAAATAAAATCTAAATGAAACAATTAAATCAAATCTAATCTAATCTAACATAAGCATTAGTGTAGTCGTACACACTTCCAAGTATTGAGTTCCAGTTGTAGACCTTCATCAGCGTTATAGAAAGCAATATAAACTCATACAAGTGTGAAGTTGACAAATAATAAATGTAGGAAATACAAAAAATATGAAAAGTATACTAAGAACAATTTAACAAGCATATCTACAATAGACCTGCAAAGCCTAGGGGAAGTGCTTCTGACAATTTTTCAGAAGACCAAAAACTTCTGTCTTTGCACCAAACCTGAAACACCACTGAAAACTTCCAATTTGATAAGAAAATCTATTCATTCAAGTGAATGCACTGGTTTTACTTTCACTTACCTATATATGTAATATATAGTAAGGTAAAGTATTGCGATCGTGAAAATTTTCGAATCTGAGTTTTCAACGGAAATACACCTTTTGAGGTCTCCTGAGTCCAAATAACATTTTTGGAGGAACTTCAGCCCCAGAAAGTCCCCCCTCCCCCGTAGATCCGCCTGATTACTTTTAAATTTGTTTCTAAGTTTGAAAAAAAGTACTTAAAAACCACCTATCAAGCCAATGCTATTGTTTAAAATGCTATTTCATTGTACTTCTGTGAAAGAAGAAGTGAAATATAAAAATATTTCATGGATATGTTTATAACCTTAAGTACATTTACTGTAGTTTAAAAACTCTAGATATGATATTATATTTAAATAATTAGGTATCTATCGGCCGTTTATTCCAAAATATCATCACGTAAACTTTTAGAAAATTAAATCAGTAAATAACTTGATGAATTTTCCCTTTGTGAAATCCCAACAATCAGTGAGACAACTTTTGACTTATCCATGGCAGGCAATAAAAATCTCGTAATTTCATTTTAGTAAATTGTAGAATGGAAAATAACAGTTTAATAACTAATAGTCCTACAATCCATTATCATTTATTGATTAACTATTCAGATATACTTCCAAATCTCTCTAGCCATATAGGAGCCTTTTGGTTGACAGAATGTCCAAGTCCAATTTCAACATTCTTTATTATTAATTTTAGTGATGTTTCTAATGGCAAAATGTATACCTTTATTCACAGTTCTATATTTCAACACTGCAATCACCTACTCTGGAATCGACTTACTCACTGTCTGTATAGATATAACTTTTCCAACTAGAAATATCACAAAATTACTCTGTCAATATCACAAAAAGTCTGTCAACTGAAAGACTCAGAGACTGAAGTTGTGTTGTTTATAAAAGCAGATGGAGTAACTAAATTTGTATTGCCTACCATCGATATAATAGAATTTTTCTAATTTTAAGGGTCTTAATGATTTTTTATCTGTAAGCTTTAAGCTTTAGCTCCGTTTAAAATGCCCTTTAAAATTTTTATAATTGCCCAACATTGCCAGAAAATAATTTCTATTCAAAGTAGAGCAGTAAATGAAAGTTGTGTGTTCCACGCACCAGTTTTTTTTACAATTTTAATACTTGCAAATATTTTGAAAGTATAGTATTAATAAGAAAATTATCATTGTTTATGAAATTATAGAGAACAGGAATTATGAAAAAAGAAAATTCAGACAAGAAATGGGTGAAGGAAAGATCAAATAAAATATGTTGAAGCACAAATAAAATTATGACATTTATATTAGCATATTTAATCAGGATATATAATAAAATCCTATTAACGTTTTTAATTTCATTTTTCTTGAATCATTGAACAATTATATTGTTAAGAAAATTCATCTAGGTAACTCTTCACAAAAATATTTTAAACGTTTATAAGAAGTAATTTTCTTTATTATTTTTTGCTGTGAAAACTAACATCAATATGTGTATGAAGTTATCTATCATATACACATTACTTCTTAGAAACATGCATGGAATACATTATTTTTTAGAAACTCTAAATCTTCATAGATTGGAATTATATATTTTTAATTTAAATGGTAAAATTACATAGGTATATTAATAAAAGAAAAAAATGGTTGTGTGAATTTAATCTCTATTCAAACAAGGGTCCATAATAAAATATGTAGATGATAATCCTGTGTATTATATTTAAAATAAATTATTTACAAATAATAGGATGTATACAAAAATATTACTGTTTTTCAACCAAATATTTGAAAATATTCAACCAAATATTATTTCTTAGATATAAAATAAAATTAATATTCAAAGTATAGTCCTTTGTTATCTAACGTCATTAGCCATCTCCTAGCCAATTGCTAGATCTCACGCTGATACTATTCTTTGGGATGGCTGTCAAAGGACTCTTGGACCGCAATTCCTGATATCCAGAACCTCATCAATATCCATTAATGGTCGCCCTGAGCCATTCTTCCTTTCCAATGCTGTATCTGCACTGCAAAATTTTTCAATCCAACAATGTGGAGTGCCCTGTTCAAGGATACCTTCCCCTTTATATTTAATAATATCACAAGTTGCTTTAGCGGCCATTAAATTTTTTTGTTAGTAATTCCTTAAAATTACGAGAATTTCGTTGGACACTGTCATGTTTCTTTCTTGAAATAAATAACTAAACTCAGGCTTTTTTTGAAGAAGTCAAATGAGATTAAATAACTTGGAGAATGATCTAAAGGGAATATTAAGGATTGGTAAGTATTAAATAGGATTAAAATATTTACAGCCCTTTAAAATCTTGAATTTGATAAAATGGTAATTTTTTTTTTATATATACCCTATTAATTATTGAAGTAAACTCTAGTTATACTAATACATATAGCTGTGACTTAATGTTGATACCAACAAATATTAGTTTTGATTTTTTTTATTAATACTAAAAAATCTTATAATAATAAGCAAGCCCTCCTCAGAAAAGTTACAGGGAACTGAATCACTAGGAGGCCAGATACGACTTGACTAAAAAACTTATTACAATCAAGATGTTTATTAAACAAAAATATGGAACTTAAAATATCATTTTAATCTAAATTAAATAATATCAGATACTTTTATTCTAATCCGAAAGTGTAGTCTAATAAATAAATATGTACATATGTTGTATTATATTGTATATTGGGTTAAAGAGAAAATAAAGAGTTGTCGATTGAGTTTAGGATATCATTGAAATTCAATTATTATTCAAACTTACATAGAAAAGTAGGTGAGAAGAGTGTTGTTATAAATAAAAAATAATTCAAGCTCTACTAGCGTTATCATAAAAGCTTTACTTATGTAATTATTATTAAAATATATTCTTCAGTAAGTAATTTTGTAAAAATGATTTTTTTTGTATTTGGTCTTCAGTTATTGTTATTATGATGTAGCGATAAGTTTCATTTCATTATATCCTATGTTAGTGCTTTTGATAAAACTAAAACACATGAAATATTGAGTGGGGAGGGGCACTGTACTATTATGTACCAGGCATGGGCTCAGGTGACAGTGGCGTTGATAATAAGTTTAAAATAAGATGAAATTCATCATAAAGGATGGAGTAATCAATCACAACATTCATCATTATTAAAATATTGAATATTATAAGAGAAGAGAATTCATGAAGAAAATTGAGAATTTAAAATAAATGTTTTTGTTTTAGGAAACATTATTATTTCTTCATTATTATTTACAACTAATTAGCTATTTTCATTTGATTTCAAGATTCATAATCTTGGAAAGTGTAGTATCTTTTCAAGTTATCCTTAAATGGTAATTATGATTTTAATAGTTTTAAATGATTTCTATATACTCATAATAAGATGATGAATTAGTCTGTTTTCTTCTTTCTCCCATAAGCTTTTATGTAAAAATTACAGAAGAAACCTAGAAAACATATTATATTGAAGCCCCACAGCAACCAAAAACATTGTGTCACATGACAGTTTTCAAACTTCATTTTCACCAGCACTGCAAGACTTACAATAAATTGAGCCTGAAAATGAATTTTAGCAAAGTAAATGGGTTATGACATAATTAGAGTATCATATTATGACAATTAAGTTAAGTTTAGCAACTTTATATAACTATTGAGAATTCATTGGGAAACGTCAGAGGTGCCCATACCACAAAGATCGATGACGCATGATCCTCCACCTCTCCTCCTAAGATATTTTATTTCCCTTCCCTTCTTAAAAATAGTGATTACACTTTCTTGTCCACTGGTTTGAAACTTTTCAACCGAAAATTCATAACCCCGTCGAAATGTGCCACCCTCAAGAAATCAAAACCCCGTCAAAATGTGCGCCCCTTCTCAACAATTTCAATGGCGCAACTTGTGCCATGAAACCTCCTTATAAGTGAGCACTCCTGGTTAACGTTGAAGGGCTTATTTTACTTTTCCTCTAATCCTTGTATACAACTCTATCGATTATTTCCCTCCCCTTTCCGATTTCATATTTTGCTGCTTTATCAATTAAATTTTTTTAGAGTCAATGCCCAACAAATTATGAATATTGATAACAATAAAATAAGTATACTGGAGTGGAAATCCAACAAATGAAATTTCAGGTCTATTCTGATAAATGCTGACGGCTACCTAGAAGCCAAGTACCATTCCTCCCTAACTAGATAGGCAATTTCAAGATTCATTTGATGTAACGTGCCACAAAATAAATATTAACTGTTTTCACTCAGGTAAGAATAGAACCCACAACATTCTTAAACAGATGCTCTGGTTTGTGTGTTTTCGTTTCAACAAATTGGTAATAAAGATCTTTATGGTACATTGGTCCAAGGACAGGTAAAACATTGTTATTCCATTTGATTAAAACTGATTAATATTGATTGTTAAATATAACATGAAAACCTACCATCTTTGTTGTAGATTTCAAGAATGCATACGATAGCATTAATCGCTCTTAAATTTACAAGGCGCTTAAAGAATTTGACCTTTCCCAATAAGCTCATCTGTCTTGTTAAGATGACCATGTATGATGAGAGGATGTCATCAGAATACAAGGAAAGTGCTAGAGCGAGTTTCAGATTAATATGGGTCTGTGACAGAGGATGGGTTGGAATGTCTGGTGTTAATTTTAGGGCTTGAAAAAGCAGTAAGGATTTGGGAGTATAGACAAGAGAAACTATTGTCAACAGAATTGTCCAGAACTAGGGCTTTGCTGACATAGCTAATATTGACATAGTTGCGAGATCAAAATCTGAGCTGATTAACGCTTTTCTGGCAATCCAACAGGTAGCTGCGCTATTGAGACTGAAGATAAATGTGGCAAAAACTTAATATATGGTGGTAAAGGCTGACAGATTTCAGCAAGGTGAAAGTTTTATAGAATAGGCCCATACAAATTTCAAAGATTACAGGAGTTTACCTACCTCGGATCCCTAGTGAAATCGAGCAATGACAACATGACAAAGGAAATATGGAAGAGGATAGCGGCAGCCAACTACTCACAAGACAAATTAAGGCAAGATTATATAAAACTTTTATAAGGCCGGTGTTGACCTATGCCTCACAAACATGGGTGATGACAAAGGCTGATGAAAATAGCCTCCTTATATTCGAACAGAAAATTTTGCAATGAATATATGACCCTGCAAAAGAAGGGGAAGTTTGGAGGAGACAAAGAAACCTGGAGTTATACACTCTGTATAATGACTTAAATGTCCTCGACTTCATAAAACTTGGAAGGTTAGGTTGGGCCGGTCATATGATTCAGATAGAGGAGGGTGATATTCCCAAAAGAGTCCTTGAGAATAGGATTGACCACACCAGAAGGAGAGGCAGACCCAAGCTAAGATGGATAGATAGCATGGCGGCTGACTCCAGGATACTACTAGGAACACCGAACTGGAAGGCAGTGGCAATAGATCAAGCTGGATAGAGAAAGCTCCTATAGGAGGCCAGGACTCACTCCTGGGTTGTAGCTCCAACGAGATAGATAGATAGAATATTGATGGTTAATGATAGATATAACCAAAAACTCAGAACGCACTCTCAACTCCTGGGAGAGGAAAGTATTGAGAAGAATATGGATCAGAATCTTTGAGAATAGAATTTGGAGAAAAAGAAAGAATGAGGAGCTGCAGGAACTTTATGGTGAACCTGATATTGTGGCATTGATAAAAAGAACCAGAATCAGATGGTTAGATCATGTGGAAATAATACCAGACCAAAGAATGCCAAAGAGAATGCTACATGAGAAGCCAGATGGCAAAAAAAGTAGATTGCACCCTCAGATCAGATGGTTGAAGTATGTGGAGGACGATCTGAGGTGGCTGGGAGTAGATGTAGGGACATAGCACAAGACCGTGGAGATTGCTTGGCTGTGGTGGAGGAGGCCTGGGTTCTTGCAGGATCATAGCACCATAATAATAATTATTATTATAGATTACAATATTAATCATAATTTACAGTATTAATAATAATTAATACCGAAATTAAAAATTCATACCATCTGCAGCGATGTTAGGTGCTTTTTCCATGAGAGATATTTCTGTGCAACTGGGCCAAATGATGACAAAAAGTAGTAACAGTACATTACAGCATGGACCAGTGTATTCATAAATCCAAAAAAAATTCCTATTTGTTCTGAAAAAAAATTTTACAAATCATTAATATTAATATGATTTTAACAGAATCAAACACCTATTTTATAAGTGCGTAGGATTATAAATTGTAAAAGAATAAAACATTTCTTAAGCAAGCATCAAGAGGACAGGGAAATAAAAAAATAAACAAATAGTAATACATTCAACTTAAACAAAAATACAAACTAATATGTAATAAACTAAAAAATACAAACCATCACGGAAACAATAATTATAAAAAATGTTAAATAATATTAATAAATCTTAATCCAGTGGTTATATATACATACTTGAGAAAAAGAGTGTTATCTCACCTCTAAAAAAGGATGTTGTTACCCATATGCTGAAAACCATTGATGAATGATGAAATAAATGAAGAAAACTTAGTTGTTTTTTCATCAAAATTAGAAAAACCTCAAGAAAGTAAAACAATAATAATAGTTTCTGTAATACATGAACCAGTAAAGTTTTAAAAACTACAATACTCACTGTATCAATGAGGTCAAATATCTTAATGAGGTAGTATACATACATCAAGCGTAATACCTGGAACCAAAGATGGCTAGCATATTATAAAAACTAAGTAAATATGTACCTTTGAACTATAACTAACCATTATACTAGAGTTTCCTAATCTTTTTTTTAACAAATACAAAAACCTTAGTTCCCCATATTTAGATATGCCACAACTATACTTCTCTCTTCTCTGTTCTTAGTCAGCTTCACAATAATTATATCTATAATGTAGAATTTTTGTTTTCCTTTTTAAAAATATTTTATTCTTTACCTTTTGTAAATTTCAGGAATACACCTATATAATGAAAATACTTATGTATTACTTATGCAATAACAATTTATTTTGTTACCTATATCAAATATATTGGGTCTAAATTATTTTTGATCACAGAAAGAAAACTGTTTCTATTTTTTTTTTTAAATAAGGAAAATGAGAATAAAAAATTTAATAGTCTACTGCCTGGTTGTGTGCTTTCACTTTGGCTTTCACATCTCTTCGTTATATCAACTAGTTTCAGCAGAATAATTGTTAGCTAAAAACATATTTATATTTTAAACAATTAGATTCGTAATTACATGTTATTAAAATGTCTGTGGTTGCTTATTAATTATTCAAATAAGAGCATTTAAATATTTGAAAGAAGGCATTTTTATAAAAGAGTTGGTAAATTACTATAATTAAGACTCACATTTGTTTGCAAATATATATTGTTTTCTGCACAATTTTTTGAAAAACATGTGTTGATATCTTTAACTTTTGACAAATTTTTGTATTACCTATTTGACAAAAATTTGATTTTTGTTCATATTTATGTTCAAAAGGCATATATTAAGCATATTTCAATTAATTTAATTTATATTAGTCATAGAAAATTGTTTATTTAATAAAACCTCTTGTTGATTCATTAATATTTGACTAGAAGTTTATTATATCTCTAGTTTTTACAAACCTTACTTCAAGTGATGAAAACATGTTTCATTCTCAATATAGTAAAATTAGTTGGTTCTAAATTGCCTCATAACGAATGTGAGCTTCAAAGTACTGAAAACAGTTTTATTTTGTATGGAAACTTAAAACAGAAGTATTCATTAAAAAAAAAAAAACAACTCTAGAGTAGGGAACAAAACTAAAAATACTTTCTATAGTTTGACTCATTTACAAATAATTAGAATCGTAGATCTTTTGCTGCCTTAATAAGCCTGCTCCATCTCTGCCTGTCATGAGCTATTTCTTTCGATTTATCTGCATGCAGCTCCGTTGCATCATTGTTGATTCTATCTTTCCATCTACTTTTTGGCCTTCCACGAGGTCTTCTGCATTCTATTGAGGCATTCATTGTTATGAAGAGGCTTCCAGATGGATTACTACGAGCTACATGCCCTACCCATCTTAACCTCCGTGCCTTCATTTCTACATCCAGTATATCTGGTATTTCAACCTCTTCAATAAATAAGTAATAAATAAAATATAAAAAAAAAAATTCATTAAAAAAACTCTTCCTCTAAAATTTTTTAAATGTTTTTGTAGTAAAATGATCATTTCATTAAAAAGATAAAACTAAACCCTATTGTGGGGTATATAATATGAAATATCCTGAATAATGATAGGAACATTGGAAATCAAACAGTGTCAGTTACAGATGTAACAAAACTATTCTCTAAATTTACAATTTTTTAAAATTTAGTTGGACATTTTATGGATTTGAAATATGTCTTGGAAAGGTGAGAAATAGTTCTATAAAATGAATCCAAGAAAAATACAATAACATCAATATTTAAATTTATACACGTGAAAGTACAAAGTAATTTGCATAAACATGTCAGCTACTGGTGCATTTACCCTAAGTTTGGTCAACATAATTATTTGCACAATACATTTGTCTTATCTACTGTATTTAGCTTTGCCTATTAATATTTCTATATTGACTACATGTCTAACCAAACGTTTTATAGAAATCAAATATTTAGAAAAAATCTTAAAAGAAGAATTAAATTTAGATGAATTATCTGTAAGATCAAAACTATAATTTTTGGTAGGAGGGACAACCTTAATTTTGCTGTCCCTTTTTCCATTCTTGTTGTTCCCCCTAAAAGTAAATACTTTATAACAATATTCTAGGCAATATATTTTGAAATATTTATCAAGATTACATATCGTTTTCTTATTTAATGTCAAAACAACTTAAATTATTAATAATAAATTTAAATACCTTGAATTGAACTTGTTGATCAAAGCCGACTGATGAACTCACTGGATCACAGACATGATTCCAGACCCTAAATATGCCTAAGCCACAACAGTCAAATATCTGGAATTTAATGAAAATTTATAAACTGTAGGATTACTTAGCAATTATGAAATTCAGCATGATTAAGAGCGAGAAAATTTATCCAGTAGGATATAAGCCATATTTTTTTTTCCATGGTGTGTTAGTACCGTTTTTTTTTTTTTTTTTTTTTTAATGGGTTTGTTTTCACATTTTTGAAACAGAGTGGAATGGAAAAAGATAAGAAATGAAATTTAATGATTGTTCTATAGCCCCCAATTCAGAAGAATAGAAGCATATATATACTGAATACATTTATTACTTACCAAATATAGCAAAAACACGTTACATATGACTTGGAGTATGTTGTATGCCAAAAGCCATCTTTTTGGTCTGAACGGACTGTATTTTTTCATCAAACTTGGACCAATAAGTATCATTGAAAAATATAATGTAAGAACTGCAGCCATCTGGCTGAAAGTAGTAAAGATATTGGGAAAGTGTTCTTCTATTCTGGGCCCTGGAACGTTAATATTTTAAAAATTATATAATAATAATTTAAAATAATGTGCTATAACGATACTATATTTTAAAGAAAAACAAATTTTTTTGAGATGTCTAATGGTCTGTTTTGGACATTCCAACATAATTGATGATCATTCATAAGTACAATAATCAAAACAATTATTACTATGCATATTTTTTGTTGATAAATAAAATAGATAAAATTATTTTATTTCTCAATATGGGTAGAGAATTATAAAAAAATAAATACTTTATACTACACATATCTAAATGTAATTGTGTATAAATAATTTTTAATGGTAATTATAATATAAACCATATTTATAGTATTTAAGGTGAATTATTGTATCATGTTGGAACATGAATCATGAAAATGAATCAATAATGCAACAGTTTATCATGGGCTTTTCTATTATTATAAAGGATTCATAGGTGGAAGTGTGGTCAGAATTACACTCCATCCACCTTATATTAATTACTCATTTAGAGCTGATTGCTAGAGTCTATCGAACTATGGTTCGCACCATTCTATCAAAAGAAAATTTTAATAATTAAACAATCAATTATTTCTTTTTTATTCCAGTTACCTTTTACCTCATTAAAATATTTCATGATAGCTTCCTAATATTCAGAAATTCTCCTATAATTAATTTTACATCTCCTAATACCAAAAACCTTTGACAAATGCAACCAATATCTACTATAATATATGATAATATACAACATTTTATATAGAATGATGATGACAAGAGTAGTTATGTGAATTAAAACAGAAATATTTCAGATGGGGATAATACTCTGAAATATTAAATTAATGTAAAAATTAAATAATTAAAGCATAAAATAAAAAGAGAACTTAGGTTTGCTTAATTATTAATGCAACTAATTGGCCTGTGCAATGTAAATTTGTAATCAACGAAAAAATATAAATATCTTTTTACTTATTCGAAAATAAAGTTTATTTTTCTTCATAACTTTTTTTGGAAATTTTGGGGAAAGGTGTGACTATTTTTCCTACCTAAAGGAGAAGGAAATCTTTAAAACGATGGCCCAATCTTAGGATTTGATGAAGAATTAATGAAGATATGGCATACCAACAATAAAAACCTTTGATCAATAATTTTAACTCCTCCTCTCTCAATTATATGGACCTCTAGTCGATGACATGAGACGTGTATTCCATGGAGAACTACAATTAACATGAGGTTGTAAACCATTTGGCTTGCATTATCTCAAAAATGGTACATTTTTGGACTTGGTGTTCCCATCAAAATCATCAAATCCCAAGTTGTCCTCGATCAATCCACCGACTTACCACTGCCTCAGTATTCAAGCCTAGAGAAATGTTCAAATTGACTTTATTTATTATAGAAAGAAAAACAAAGGTGGGGAATACAGTCCGCTTAACCTCTGTGAGATTCTGAAGCCAACGCTACCCCATTCATGGCATTTCAACATGACAGGAGCTTATATTTGGTACAAAAACTGATTTCGAGCCTTACTGTAATAATATATGAGGGGGATGAATGCAGATTTCCCAGAATATCGAAGAGAATTTATTAGAAACTTTAATGCCTCAGGATTTGAGCTTGATTAGTTAAACAATGGCGAACTCCTTGGTAATAATTTAATGCTGAAATACTTTACCTTCATACTTGATATCGGGAAAATCTAAATAACTGTAGAGGCTCATCCTTGGCAACACAACTGAGAGAATTCACGTTACAACTGTTGCCTATTTATTGATATCATTGCTTTAATTTAAAAGTTAAGCTGCCTTGAGAAGGGATTAATAATAGATCAATGGTAATGAAGCTGAAACTTATCACTATATGTTAATTTAAATAAATAAAATTATTGGACAGAGGATCGAGAGATTTGTCTATTAATAATATTTAAAACAGCCCCATCCAATCTACATACAGAAAAAATAACTTAAAAATTTTGGGGAGAGTTTAACTTTTTTAATTCTTTAGTTGATTACAAAGGTTGATTATTGAAAATAATATTTTAAAAAATACTTAAGAATAGCAATATCTTTACTAATAGTGCTCTGATTTCAATGAAACCTGTTTTTGTTTTTTAAAAAATTTAAATTTTAAACAAGGAGAAACTTTCAACTCTGGCATTAATCCACCCCCCTCATCCTATGACCCGGGAAAACTCTGTAAATCTAAAAGGTGAGGAAGGAGACAAACAAATAAATAAATAAAAACACGATGGACATAAGTTTTTTTTATTCAATCTTCGAGTTCTACACATCGTGATACGTAAAACATCAAATTTTGAAGAGAGGGCTATCTTTTGAATTTTTCGGTCGGTTACAATGGTCCATTATTGAAAATAATAAACCAAGAAATTATAAAAAATATATAAATATAACAAAAATATAAATAATGAGTGTCAATTTTCTAAACTTGTTAAAAATAGATAATGGAAAAATGTAAGTATAATAACAACTACATTTCTTTTGCTTCATGTTACATAGGTAAAGAATGATACAATACAAAAATATAATTAGAGACCAGATTTTCATAGAATAAAACTTTTTAAACGTGCAACAAAAACTCAAACGTGCAAAAAGACATATTAAAGAATTAAAACTTGGAACTTTTCATTAACATAACATACTAAAAAAAAAAAAAAAAATCATAATTTTTAATTTATATAAAAATAAAAAAACTGAAAACCTGTTTTAATACTCCTAAAAAATATAATTAATTATTTTCATTAAAGATCAGTAACTTATACATTTTTAAATGTCCTATCGCCAATTACCTACACGTTTTAAAAGAGAAAGCGTCCTTAGTAAATCTTACATAAAATGTTGATTTATAAATTAAAAAAAAAAAATCTGGTGCACGCAACACACAACTTTCACTTATACTGAATAGAAATTATTTTCTGGCCATGTTGGGTTATTATAAAAAAATGTAAGTGAGCTAAAGCTAAAAATACAGCTAACAAATCATAAACACCATTAAAATAACAAAAGTTTTATTTATTATATTTGATTATAGATTGTATGATCCATTGATTATTGATTGCATGATCCGTTGATTATTTATTGTACGACTATTAGTTATTAAACTGTTATTTTCCATTGCAAATTTTACTAAAACGGAATTAAGAGATTTGCATTGTCTGTCATAAATAGATCAAAAGTTGTCACGCTAATTGTAAGTGGATACTATTGGAATATTACAAAGAGAAAATTCATCAAATTATTCACTAATTTAATTTTCTAAATAATTACATGATTTTTCGGACTAACTAAATATTTAAATATATAACATCATATCTAGAGTTATTAAACTGCAGTAAATATATTTAAGGTTATAAACGTATCTATGAAATATTTTTATATTCATTTATATTTATATTAAATTCTTTCACACAAGTACAAAGAAATAGTAGTGGATACTGTTGGAATATCACAAAGGGAAAATTCATCAAATTATACACTAATTTAATTTTCTAAAAAGTTATATGACAATATATTGAAATAAAGGGACGTTGATACCTAGTTATTTAAATAACTCTAGATATGATAGAACTCTAAATATTTAAATATTTAGGTAGTCCGAAAAATCATGTATTTATTTAGAAAATTAAATTAGTGAATAATTTGATGAATTCTCTCTTTGTGATATTCCAACAGTATCCACTTACAATTAGCGTGACAACTTTTGATCTATTTATGACAGACAATGCAAATCTCTTAATTCCGTTTTAGTAAACTTTGCAATGGAAAATAACAGTTTAATAACTAATAGTCGTACAATAAATAATCAACGGATCATGCAATCAATAATCAATGGATCATACAATCTATAATCAAATATAATAAATAAAACTTTTGTTATTTTAATGGTGTTTATGATTTGTCAGCTGTATTTTTAGCTTTAGCTCACTTATATTTTTTTATAATAACCCAACATGGCCAGAAAATAATCTAGAATTATTAAACTACAGTAAATGTATTAAAGGTTATAAATATATGCTTTATTACATCCATGAGATGATTTTATATTTTACTTCTTCTTTCACACAAGTACAATGAAATAGTTTTTAAACAATGTCATTGCCTTGATTATGTGGATTTTAAATACTTTTTTTAAACTTAAAAATATGTTAAAATTTTACATTTAGTTAGTGAATTTCATTTAATTTCCTTGAAACCATATGATTTACGTTATTATTTTATTATTAGTTTTCAAAAACTATTATTTATAATTTTTTGTCACTCTCGTTACCTTCTACAACGTTCAATATTAGATGTTTTTTCTAAAATTATTCGCTTTCCAATGAAGATATTATACATATTCCTTCTGACAATTATTTCCGGTTATTCATTTTCGACCTGGATAAGCATTTTTGTTTTTCTCCTTTATTCAATTATCAAATTCTTTCAAAAGTTATATTTAGCATTTTTTTCTTGACTCTATATAATGTGAGATGATTAACTTTTTAAAATAAACCATATTAAAGGTACCTTAGAGGAATACGCATGTGAACATATGGCATTTAAGCTCTGTAAAGTGACATCAACGGGGATAAGACCTAAATGACATTAAAGACCACTTAATTATACAATGATATACCGAGTTGGATCAAAATCGTAAGAGCCGTTTTTGAGAAAATTGTAAACAGCGTTGATATAAAGTGGAACTTCCGGTTAGCCGATTTTAAGGAAAAAGTTGCGGTCACATCTAAGGCATATACCTATCTTGAATACATAATATCAATTTACGTACGACTTTTCGTTTTTGAGCTAGACTGCTAACATACAAACACACAGACCATTTTTCGGGATTTGGTTATTTGGACTCAGGGTTCCCCAAAACGTGTATTTCCGTTGAAAATTGAAAATTCAAAAATTTTCACGATCGCAATACTTACACTTACTATATATTACATATATACGTAAGTGAAAGTGAAACATGCTTTTTGAAAAATTGTGTCTCTCCATCAATTGAACATAAAAGACCTCTCTTTCTGGTTTCATACGGAATTTTATAGAAAGTGCTACAAAGTAGTTTGTGATAATTAATTATCTTCGTAGGAATAGCTGTTTCCATAATATTTGCAAAAGTACACTGTAGAGCAAATAAACAGAAGGGATTAATAATAGATCAATGGTAATCAAGCTGGAACATTTTAATAATCACCAACAATGCATTTCTCTTATATTACAGATGAATTGTGGAGAAGGAGAACGGTAATGTATAATGTCATTATTATTTTTGTAACTAATCAGATTACATATAAGTATAGGATATTATAATGAATATTTACTAGATTAGATTTTATTAACATATTACAGATTATTCATTAATGCATGCGCAAACGTATGTTTTATAATAATGGACGATCGTATTGTTAGCAAACTATGCTGATGTTCTAAGCCTCTAACAAAACGTCACTCCTTCGACTCTGTAACAAAAATAACAGAATGAAAAACATAAACTCTAAAAGCAATTAATAAAAAATAATAAACAATTATAAAAATTACTTTTTTCCTGAACGATCACAACACCATTTTCTGCGTTCGCAGCACATATATTTCCTATCACAACATGTTCTGGAGGAGCATCGATGCAATTCACGATTTAACCTAGTGAGTCTACCAACTGAAATTTAATAAATAATGTGAGTGAATTAATGAAAAATACTGCATTTTTTAATTTATACAATAATAGGAAGTCTGGTTAATCCCATCACAAAAATTCTAGTCCTTGATACAGACTCCTTTTTATGAAGTTATAAACATCCCCCCCCCCTCTCATTGTAACCTACAATTTTTTTATTTATAAAAGTTCTCGAAATTAAGGTGTTTTCGATCTGGAGATCGGCAAACTTTGTCTATTAGGGATATAGACCAAGGGGTTCAATATTTTCGTATCCCACTCAAATTATCTTACGATTCAAGAGGAGTGCAAGTGGGTAATTGTGAGTTTTTAATACCTCGTTAAATTAATGAATTTAATGAGAAAACACCCTATTTCTTTAAAATAAATAAAATTGTGGACCCCAGAGGAAAACATTTTAAGAAGTGGACATAAATGACTTCGTAGGAAGAATATATATAAAATGGAAACAAAAAGAGTTTGATTTTATTTAATGTGGCTTAATATTGAAACTTACGACTATATGTAAATTAAAATAAATAAAATTGTTGGATGGGGGATTGAACATTTTGTTTATTATTAATATTTAATACATCCCCTACCAATCTAAATATAGAAAAAATGACTTAAACATTTTGAGGTCTCAGAATTTTTTGGTCGGATACATTTTTACACATTTGGGTTCTCTTTTTCAATGAGCGCCCACTCCCCTTTAAGCTAGCAGTAGGCCACTAAGTATTCTTCAAATTAATCACAAAATTCTAATTTGCTATTAGACTAAAAGTTAAAGCAAACTATAGCTGCTAAGAGTTCAGCGCAACTGTTATAAAGACAAAGTTATTGAACATTTCATTATATACACATCCAAAACTCCATTGAACACCAAAACCTTACTATTCTCATCCTTCTAGATTTTTTCAAAGCGATTGACACAGTTGACCGTAATATCCTCCTCACTAAATTACACAATCTTCCTCTATCCAACAGTACCCTGCGTTGGTTCAAATCCTTCCTTTCAAATAGGTCTCAGTATGTAGTTGTCCCAGGTCAACCTCCGTCGAAATCCCTCCCCCTCTTCTTTGATGTCCCTCAAGTTTCCTCTCTATCTCCTACTCTGTTTGCTATTTATATTAATGACTTTCCCTTCCTGATCTATCACTCCCAATACCATATCTATGCGGATGATTTCCAAATATATCTGTCCTTCCCGCCCACCGACCTATTATCAGAAAAACTTCAAGAAGACTTGGATAGGATTTGTGACGGGCGAGAGATAACAAGTTGACTTTGAATGCAGAAAAGACGAAGGCAATCTTAATAGGCCCCAATCACCTTCTTAAAACTGTTCCTAATATTGCTTAAAATAAATTGCTTTGTACGATTCTTCTTCGGGATCCCAAGGGACGCCTCTGTTTACCGTTTTTATGCAGAGTTGAAGTGGCTTTATCCTTCCTACCGGCGTAAGTATTTCCTAGCATTCTTCCTCTTTCAAGTCGTCCAATCCCACCGTCCTTCATACATGTCCGAGCTCCTTCAATTCAAATCATCTGTTCGTTCCCGCAATACTCGTTCCCGGTCTTCTGATTTGTACATAAGGGCCCACCAAACTACTGCTTTCGACAGATCTTTCATTATCCCAAGCTCATCCCTATGGAACTTCATCCCTCCCGACATCCGTCAATCCAAAACCCTTCCTACCTTCAAAACCGGCCTGTTCATTCATTTCTTATCCATCCAGTCCCTATGAAATTGTAAATAGTTACTACTGTAAATATGTATATAAATTATCATATCGTTCTTCATTATTTTTACTTCATGTTTATTTTCAATTTTTCTTGTTTTTTATTTATTATTAACTGATTTAAATTATAAAGTAACTTTTAATTTCTTTTATTTATTTTTTTTTATTTTGACTATTCACTTACTCTATATTTTTGTATCTCTGAGGCTCCTTGGCCCACATTTTTGTCTTTCTGTATTATTCTAAAGGGACTCGTCCCAGAATAAATAAAGCATTATTATTATTATTATTATTATATTCTATCATAACCTCTTGAACATGGGATAAAAAAGTTTAGTATGGAAGTTCTTACTTGGATCGTTCTCTGCTTGCGAAGTTTCTGCAGCACTCCATACTAACTGGACAGTAACAAAGAAAATTAACAAGAATACAAGTGTAAGCTTCATGATTGATTGGAATAGAGTGATCCATACAGCATTCATTTATATTGGTTTCCTTATCTTACTTCAACTTAGCGGTTTAAAAATAGCTTTTATAATCCAACTAATTCCTTTCCTAGATCTGATGATGATTCTACTTACAGGATTTCTCAGCAGTAATGTGATTTTTCGAAACCTTGTTTTAAGAAAAAATACTTAAAGATGGATTGAATCAATGTCATTAAATCTCGGTAAATCTGACTGTAATTAAGTGCTAGAATCAATAAGAGGTTATTTTCATTTTTGACGCTTTTGGTACACAAATTTATATTTGTATAAATAATTATTTATTAATAAATGCTTACTAAGCTTCTGAAATGTGATTAATTCAATATATTGTCAAATAAATTTCTATCAAACTTCTATCATTTTCCTAGTTTGACTCATTATTTGGTTAAATCTGTTTCTGATCATTTTTAAAAGAATGTTCATTTAATGTTCAACTAGCCCAGTAAAATTAGAACAAAAAAGTTACCTAGCTTGCAAAAGGTCGGATAATTTAAATTTCTTTTCTATATTGTTAGTGGCTATAAAAAAATTCAAGTTTCCGCCCTTGAAAGCCTTGTGGGCTCTCTGTAGTGCACCAAAAACCATTGAAATTTCGAAATTTTTTTGGTTTAAATATCTCTTTTTTAAAGCGACATAATTAAAACATGGTTATATTCAATTTAAACAGCTTAAAATTATCATTTTTGTACATAACATTTTTTTCTAAATCCTTCAGGAAAGGAACTATCGAGCATTCAAAATGGATAAAGCTAAAAAAAAAATATATCTGACAATTCAATTATTTTATTTCCAGTACGGGTTCAAACAGCATCATTCGACTATTCAGCAATGTTACCGCCTTGTAGATTACATATCTTTCTCGCTAGAATCAAAATTGTACTGTCCTGGCGTTTTTCTTGACATGAGTCAGGCTTTTGATAGAATATGGCACGATGGTTTGTTACATAAATTAAAAACGATCATTCCTCCGACATATTACTTAATTTTACAATCATATCTAAAAGATAGATTTTTCCGTGTGAAAATGGGGACTCAGTTTTCTGCCATCAAACAAATAAAAGCTGGAGTACCTCAAGGCAGTGTCTTGGGTCCAACACTTTTCAACATTTACTGTTCAGACATCCCACAACATTCTGAAACACTGTTGGCTACATTTGCTGATGACTCGGCAATATTAACATCTAACAAGGATGCAGCTAAGGCTTCTCAGATACTTCAAGAACACCTAGACGACATAGCTTGTTGGGCTAAAAGGTGGAGAATAAAAATGAACGAGTCTAAGAGCCAATTTGTTTCATTTACACATAAACATGGCTCTTGTCCTCCAGTGTTCTTTAATAATATCGCTCTACCACCTTCAAAAACTGTACGATATTTAGGCCTCTACTTGGACAAACGACTGACATGGACATACCACATAAAACAAAAAAGAAAAGAACTTAATCAGCGATACGGACTTCTTTCTAGGCTACTTGACAGACGTTCTAAATTATCTGTGACTAATAAACTAACTATTTACAAAGTCCTCATTAAACCACTTTGGACATATGGAATCGAACTATGGGGAACAGCAAAGAAATCAAATATAAAAGTCATCCAGTCATTCCACTCAAAAGTCCTTCGGAAAATTGTAGACGCACCCTTTTATGTTCCAAACCTCACGTTACACACTGACCTTAACACTCCTTTCATCACGGCAACTGCCACTGACCGCTTTAATAATTTTCATGACAGACTGACTCTAAATTCCAATCCACTTACTCAAGCTCTATCTACTGCCACAAATCCATATAATCCGCCCAGAAGACTGCTGAGGCGCTGGCCAAGAGACTTATTGCATTGAGCTACTTGCTGCATTATCTTTTCTTTTTGTGTGTGTTATTCTGTTAATATGTATGTGTTATTTTACTACTGTTCTTTTTTTTTGTTGGTTTTTTTTTTTTGTCTTTCTGTTTTGTTATTACTATTATTTTTTTTCTTATGCTATCATTTCTTGTCCTTGATATCATATTTGCTGAATACCAATGTAGATGGCAAATTTATTGTGAGCCAGAAATATGTATATCTAATAAATCTAAATCAATTATTGTATTAATATTTATTCGTTGATACAATCAAATATTAATTCAATCATTACAACACTATAACTATGCCATTTATGAGTACTTAATGATGTGGAAGACGACTCTAGACGCCTATGCCATTGCCGCTTTCCTACCTTTAAGTGTATTTTCGAAGTAAGTGCTTCAAATATTTTAAAAATTAATCAGTGTTTTAGAAAGAAAAACGTATTCTGCGGAAGTTTTTCGATATCGTTGGCCGTTTATTTACAAAAGACGCTTGATTTCCATCTTTAGTTTGAACGACTTGACAAAACTTGACTTTACCAGTGTTTTTTATTGCCAAGGCCAAATATTTTTTTATCATGTTTTATTATTCTCTAACTATCCAGCTATTTATATTTATATTTATAAATTTAATAAAACGACAATTATAGCGAAATTAAGCCAAATACCGATTCTCAGTGAACGAAAAGCTAACTCGAGTCAATCTGCTATGTTTGAACGCCATTTTGGGTCAGTGCGCCCATTTATTTTTTTTTATTGAAACATTGGCTTGTTTTTAATTAAATAGTTACAAGAAACTGGTTTGGTCCACCATGTAACATACTTTTTAAAACACCTCAGGACTACCGTTTACCGTTCCAGTTCATTGACAAGAAAAACCTCCGAATTCCCGAATACATATTTATGGATAGCTTGCCAAAATTAAAACCCATACTGTATAAATCTACGGATTACCTTTGGTGTTAATATATTAAGTGCTTGTACCTTAATTACAGTAATCAAGTTTTATAATACTAGTAGGCCCGTGCGAAAAATTCGCACAGCAGATTGTTATCAAATGCCAGATCAATAAGAAAATAAAATAATGCAACATATCAAAAGATATAGAAATTAAATGTTACTTTATCGATAAATATAACCGACAAAGGAACAAAAATTAATTTAAATCTTCATTTTTGTTTGGAACCAACATGTTTAGAAATTTCAGTAAGCTGTATCTTTGCTATAAATTGTCCGATTTCAATGATTTTTTTTTTCTTTTGTAAGGAATTAAGTTCTCTTTTATATAATCACGGGCATAACCAAGGAAAAAGAGTGTAATTTTTTAGTTATTCTAACAAGTATTTCATAACTTGTTTGCCTGAATTTTCGGAGTGATTGGACTATTTTGTCCGCCTGAAGGAGAAGGAAGCCTTCGAAATTGGTGGCTCAATCTTAAGATTTGGTGAAAAATTGACGATGATATGGCTTGCCGATCAAAAACACCATCGATAAGTAATATAAACTCCTTCTCGATCATAGAGACCCCAAGTCGACGAAATGAGACATGTATTCAATGACAGTACCACAATTAATGTAAGGTTGTGTGGATGCGAACCCTATGCCTTGCGTTATCTCGAAAATAGTACGTTTTTGGTCTTAAAAGCGCAGGATCCGATAGTTCCGGAGGAACTATCCGGGTCTTGCTGTACGCATCAAAATTTTCAATTTTTATCCCCTATCGATCTACAGACCTACCACTGTTCCAGTATTGAAGCCTAGCAAAATGTTTGTATCGACTTTATTTATTTTGGAAAGAAAAGTGGGGAATACGATTCGCTAATTTGTACAAAACCGATTTCGAGCCATATTGTAATAATATATGTACGGATGATATATTTAAAACAATAATTTGATTTTGAAGTAAACAGATATAACACTTCACATTAAAAAGTCAAGAATGAAGAGTTTAGTTAATAATTTTCACAATCTTCGTATGTTCTTGCATTGCAATTGATCGAACTTCAAAAATTTTTCATTATATTCTAATGAATAATGATACCCACCTGCATTGTTAATATACATATTAAGTACTTGTAGGCTTATACAAATCAGTTTTTGAATACAATTGATTGAGTAAAAGTTGTTTTTTTATATGGGAAACAAAATTACATTATTCAAATACAAATTTACATAAATGAACCATCTTTAAAATTAGTTGTATATTTTAATACTTGTATAATAATTTTTAAACTTCCAATTATCTGTATGAAATATATTGTAACGAAACCGACCTTTCAATGAAAAGACAGATTTAGGGTCTGCAGAGTCGAAGAAACAGGCCACTTCTTATGATATTAATAACATTCGGCTAAAACTTCGTGAACGGCTTCGTCTTATTGTAACCTACATTTTTTTTACATTACAATCAATTAATTATAGAGATACTAGCTGATGTACCCGTCCTTGACGGGTGCATAGTTAAAATTTGAGAATCTTTTTTGAGATGGATGGGGGGAGGAGGGTCCAAATTCAATTTCACAAAATTGGGTCAGGTGAAGGGAGGGGGTTGTTTTGAATTTTTTTATGGGGAGGCTTATGGAAGTGAAGACTTCACAATAGCCATAACAAAAACTTTATTATTCGGCTTTGTTTAGGTACCACACAACTAAACCGACCACCACCGATCCATTAAAATTGTTTATGTGTTTAATTTTCATTTATAATGAAGCGGGGAGATTATGGAGTCGATTGAAAAAGAGTTGTAGTCTCTCCACTTCTTTAAACTGTGCTGAGTTGGAGTTTTTTTTTTTTCCTGATTTCCAGTTTATCCATTTGGTTAAACCTCAAAATGTATACATTTGTTAGGCTCGGCAAGTTGAATTGAATGATACCTTGTACGAGAAGATCGGACATAGTTGAAAAATGAGTGTGTTTTATCCGTTTTATGTGACAACGCGTTACATATGTTCAGTATTTCGGATTTTTCCCGTTGAGTCGTGATACTTTTTTCCATAGTTGAGTAGTACAACTTTTAAATGTTGCTCACGGTAGAGTAGGTTGGGATGGGAATCGAAGTAAGTGCCTAACCGGGATCTCTAAACAAGGTAATTAAGAATGCATAATTTTGGTTCTACTCAATATTTTATAATCATTTAAAGCCTATAT